GCCCGTCGACCGCGCGGCGCAGAGTAGCTATCCATATCACCCAGTCCGTGCGATGTAAGCGTCCTGCGTGTCATCTAGTTAAAAGCCGGCGTGTTCTGATTTGCCTATTCGTAAAGATGGGATGGTTATCTATCCGCATTCGCAGCACCGTAAGCCGTTGGACAGGATCGGGCATGTCCAGGCGCTCCTCTGGACTGGTGCGGGCATCACCTCTGCCGGCAAACGGAATCGATCTATCTCGCTCCGCCTGCTTATCTCTACCTACATGCGGCCCTATCACGAACGCATGCGTAGCTACACCTACATTCTCTAGGTACCTACCTCCTGGCAAACGCTGCCTCCGACTATCGATGCCGGGTTCTGCGGGGGTCAAGGGTCTGTCCCGTCGTAAGCGTGAAGTACGCCAGGTTAGGTACCGACGGAGGCAAGATGGAATTTATTGCCGTTAGGAGAACTTGTTGGTTGGTTGCACCCAGTGTCTCTTTTGAGAATATCTCACGAGCTTCCAACTGCGGCGGTGACAGCCAGGGTGGGTCCGTTCGCGACCTCTGCCAGAGTACCTACCTGCATGCCTCCTGCCGGTACGGAGAAGTACATATACGAGGCACTTCGCAAGTGCCGGGAGCGAGAGTAGGTAGGGCAGGTACCGTCTACCAGCGAGCGACACCTGGCGGACATGGATCATGTACCGCCGAAGTCAGCGGAGTAGCAGTGATCGGACTAGTCTGGTGGGTGGGCTCTGTAATTTTAGTCATCAAGCCGCCTTTCGTCGCACGCGTCTGGCTCGGGCACATCCACAAGCGGTTTAGGACGTCGGTAGCTCAGGTAGGTTGAGGCCGGGTCTCTCGTCGAGATCCCTGGCGGTTAAGTAATCATCTTATAATCACACAATTACGTCCCCCAGAGACGGGACGGAGGGGAGGGATGGTATCTGGGTTAATTAGCAGAGTTATTTATTGCGATCCTCCCCCTGCAGCCAGGGATGCCCCGACTAGAGAGCTACCTCGACGGCCGTGCTGTGCGTGCGGTTGCCCGAGGTATCCCTCTCTCTACATATATAAGGCTTCTTAAGGCTGAGAACCCCATCTTTTTCCCACCTTCATCTGGTTGAGGCTTAATTCGGGCTAATGGCCGTCCCCTACCACGGTCCGATGGTAATTCTGCGTGGGATCGCGTAAATGCCACGAGAGAGCTATCCATGGTCGGACCGAAGACACCTGCTCCCTCCCAAGACTCCATATTTCGACAGACGGGAGGGGGGCGGAAGAAACCGAGTGCACCGCTGCAGAAGAGGACAATCGGCAACGGATGCAATTAATTAGGGGCTGAGCATAGCGGCACCCCGACTACGTAAACATCATGCGATGATCATCGCATTGCTATGGCGTCGTCAAGTATCAACTGTCTTATATAGGTACTTCTGTAAGTAGAATAAGAGGCCAAGTACGGAATGCATGCCGGTACTAGAGGCAGGTAGGTAGGTGCAGAACAAGTGGGAAGAAGAGGTATAGTAGTAGGCCGGTAGGTCGGGTGCACAACAACTTGAGGCAGCTGGACACGGAAGCGTATACATCCCTCCTACCGCGCCGAAGATATGGAGGTATCGATGCACCACCCATCCTGGACGGGGCAGCGTAGGGGGTTCGGAACTTGTTTTGATACATGCCATGGTGGCCTTGCGTATGTATGCCCATAGCTCACGGGCAGAGAGATACTCGACGTGCGCACGCACATACCGACTTGCGCCTACAGGATGGGGACATGCATCCATGCGTCGTCTACGTATCGCTCACCAGAGGGGGAAGAGGGGCATGGATGGCAGCGTCGACGAGATGGGTAGCAGCGCGTACACATACACACGCACACGCACGCACGCACGCACACATACGGCGGCCAGCATTGTTTTCTGAATTCGGCATAGCATACGTGACATGCAGGAGGACAGCAGGAGGACAGCATATGGGAGAAGATGGCGCTTCCTAGGCCGCGGTCGATAAGTTGACGGCCCGGTACGTAACAGAGAGAGAGAGGGGGGGGGGGAAGGGGAGAAAAGCGAAACGCAGAGGCAACAGGTAGAGAGAGAGAGAGAACATGAGAGGGAGAGAAAGAGAGAAAGAGAGAAGAGAGAGGGAGGGCGGGAGAGAGAGGAGAGAGGAGAGAGCAGAAAGACAGCCGGGCCAAGTGAGCGAGAAAGCCGGCTGCAGATACTACGCAGGTATGTATGTGTGTATGAATTAGGTAGGCCTGTACGTATACCTACCTGCCTACCTATGTATTGTTATAACCACCTCCAAGATGTACACACATACATCATATTGACCTCTCCCATCTACTACCTAACCTGCCTTACCTACCTAGGTGCCTCCTCTGCTAACCTTGGATACCTAAGCATTATCTAGTTTAGGTAGAATGCGTGACGTTAAATATACTTCTTCTTCTTGGATACCTAAGCGTCTGTCCTGCGGATGCCTCGATATTTCACCTCTTACATCATGGATATGCCGATGTACGAAGGTACGCGAGAGCATCCCGTTCGCCTCCCGCCCACGCGTATGAGCGGTAGGAATCGAGTTGCGGATGTGCGTGGAGGGGGTATACACACGCATCGATGCCCATAACACGTCGCTACGTATGCATACCTGAGATATAAACTCGATGTCCGGGGGGGGGAGGGGAGGGCAGGTAAGCAACCGACTTACCCTAAGCGTGCAAGTCCACGTCTATACGCCAGGCGTGGAGGAATGCTAGCAAGCCTGTGCGGTGGGTATGTGTGTACCTAGGCCTGGGTAGGTGTAGCAGGTAAGTGTGCAGTCCTCGGGACGTGCATCGCAACTCGGATTTACACGAGAGAAGAAGAAAGAAAGGAAGAAAGAGAGAGAGCTAGCTCGTCATGGAAGGCGGGCAGCAAGCAGTGCAGCAGCCCTGTGCCGACTGGGAGGACGGCAGCAATCCTACCATCCACATCAGTGCTGTGCTGGATGTACCTACTATAAGGTACCTGGTGTACGTACCTGCCCTCAGGGTAGGAGGTGGGTGGGTAGGTTAGGTAGGTAGGTACCTGGCTCGCACCGATGGTATAGCCAGGGAGAAGTATCCTGGACATCTGAGGACGTACACGGATCAGGTACCTGCTAGCGACATCCGCACGGATGCTGTACCTAGCCCAGCGCGGCTCGGCTGGTCGTGGGCGGGTATCTGGGTACTTCGGGCCGGCGTGGAGCGTACGTACCTCAGGTACCTCGCACCCCTCCTGCAGAGGGGACCCGCAGTCTCCTCCTGCCCTTGAGCACTTATTATGGGAGGGTAGGAAGGCATGTACCACCGCTCCTATGGCCACCCCCCGGGCGGCGTCTCGCCCCACGCCCCCGGTACGTAGCCCCCCTCGCCATCCCCGTGCTGCTGGACACACGCCCCCCACCCCGGTCCATCCTGGGCTGCAGGCCCACTCTTGCTGCGACAGACTGGGACAGGCAGCCCTAGCACCCATCGAGTGCCCACTCTCGCGCGCTACCACTACGTACCACCCTGTCTTGAAGGGCTGAATACCTTCTTCTCTCACGTACGTAGGGCGTGGGTGTGGGCTGCTCCTTGGAATTTCGGTTTTCATATGTACCTATATCCTCGCCCCTCCTCGCTTTCCTGCCGCCGTTCTCAGAAGACGGAGAACGGAGCAGACGAACGAGATAGGAATGATGCCTTGTAGTGTTCTTGTTTCTCTTATTTCGTTTTCTGGACCCGCCAGAGCCTGCCATTGACGGAATCTCTCTAACCAAACCGAAGAAAAAGAACTCCCTCCCCCTCCTCCTCCTCCTCCTCCTCCTCCTCAAGTCGAAGCTCGCGTAGCTGGAAGCCTCTCTCTCTCTCCACCTACTTACCTACTACTTGCCTACCTACCTACCTACCTACCACCTACCTGACCTACCTGACTTACCTTCATCCTCCTCGTCTCCTCTCTTCCTCTTCCTCCGCCTCTTCCTTGTCGTTCGTGCTGATCTGCTCCTCCGGCATAAGCGTCCTCTCTTATTGACCGATCCCGCCTCGCTGGATCCCTCCACCGCCGCGCCGCATACACTTCGACGGGGCCTCGAATACCTTCCTACTTAAACGCCCGCCGCGGCAACTGGACCTTGCCCAGTCTATACCTGCTATCGTCAACCTGAGCTCGCCTAAGATCTCCCTGGCCCACTTACCCTTCTCTTTCCCTTGGCCGCCTTTCCCAGTTTCCCTGCTGGCTCGCCTGCTTGCTTGCCTACCGGCTCGCCTGCCTGTCCGTCTGCCTGTCTGCCTAAGGATTTTATATTAAGGGAGGAAATTGGGGAACAGGACAAAAGTTGAGCTGGATTTGGGGACAATTCATCTTTCCCCCTACTTCTTCCACTTCCCACCACTACCCGTCGATACTCCCTGTCCGCGCCTCATATAAGCTTGTCTTTCCCCCCTCGCCGCCGGCCTCCTCCTCCCCGGCCTGGTTCCAATTGCCTATTAAGACGCTCCCGCTTTTTGGTGTTTTTTTTTTTTTTGCTCCTCAGTCGACTCGCATTTCTTATTTTAGACTTGTTTATTTGCGTCTTGCTTGTTGGCCGGAGGGTCGTGTTCGGTGTATTATCATCGTGTTGTTATTATGACATGTTCATTACTATGACGATGCTTTACGGTCTCCTACTCTTTTAGAATACCCTCGCACAATTGCTTTGCTTCCTTCTCTTTTTTCCCCTCGCCTCCCTTCCTCCTCGTTTCCTGGTTATGAGGTAGGGTCTCCGAGCAATTGCCGCCGATCCCGCCAGCTTCCACAAACGACGTCGGTCCTGCCGATACGAGAGTCTTGCCACCGACATCCTTACGGCGCTCCAACCCCTGGATCGAGCATTGGGTCATTGTTGGATCTTATTCTTCGCCCACAACAGCGCTATTAACCGCCTCGTCGACTCCACGCGTCTGGTAGTTGCCCTATCTTTTTCTCTGACAGTCGCTGACGGCTCGGGATTGACACATTAGCCTCTCCCTTGTCGTGCATCCTTCTCAGCTACCGGTTGTTAACCTCAAACTGTGGCGAGCCGACCATTGGCTCATGTCAAATTGAATCAGCTCCCGTGTGCTCGAGTCTTTGGAAAGGAGGGCGCGAAGATGGAGATCCCTAGATACGCTCCGAGGGAGCCAGGAGGTCCACCGCCGGCTATATACATCGAGGGTGCGAGTCACTTCGATCACCATGGCGGTCCGGGTCGGTCTCGCCCGCAACCTTCGAGATACTCTCCCGCTCTAGCCTCTGTCCCCGTGTCGATACCCAACCTTCGCCGTCGCGCCGAGGACGACGCGCCGCCGCCTTTAATCCCTCCAAAATACATACCCGGCCTAGAACAGCCGGGCTCTGTCAGACACGACCGTATACCTTCCGTCGATTCGAATGCGAGCTGGGAAAGTTCTAGACACGATTTAGAGCACGATCGACCTCGGTTCGGCAGGTGTGACAGCGACCAGCCGATAGTACGGCCCCACAGAGACGAGGGCTACCACAGTCTCAACTCGACGATGTACGTTAGCTGCACAGCGGCATGATTCGCCCGGCGCGAGTCGGAACAGACTAACCACCGAGACTTTAATCCAGGTCGCAAGACTCGCTTCCCAAGAAGTTGTTCATGACCCACGATCAGTACCAGTTCAACCGGCAGAACAGCGAATATGATATTGCGTTAATCAAGAAGCTGGACTCTCGACGGACCTTTGAGAACCGAACACCGCCTCGGCTGCCTACCCTCAGCGCTTCCGCTAGCGACGCATCGTCCCGTTTTGCCGGGCATTCCCAACGTCCGCACCCTCAACTTACGCCGCTGTCCTTACCTATATCCCTTCCCATCCGGCCGAGTAATAAATTGGTGATGGATTCGCCCGGACGATACACGGACACCCCACCCCAGTCTGCACTATCACCCCGCGGCGCGTCGTTCTACGGGGCTTCTAGCAACGAATACCGCTCTCCGGTGGAACTTACGGACCCGGACCGGTCGCCCTTCTCGCGGACGAGGAGGAACAACAGCGGCTCGTTCCCGGATGACGCGACTATTTCCACGCATAGCAGCTACGAGAATATCGTAGACGACAACGACTTCTCGATGGGGGATGCATCACACATGGAGGACGTCGTGACGCGTTCGGAACACCATGCTACCGGGCAGAAGAGGCGGGCATCTTCACCGCCTGGCGATGATGTGCCGATGCAAGGCATGCCTGGCTCCTACGACCTGCTACGACGCCGCGAGGGAGCGTCGAGAGCGTCACCGCAGCCGCGCCTCGCTGCCATCCCTCAGGGCTCCGTTTCGTCCGTTTCTACGACACGCAGCGGGTCCTACGCCTCGACTGTTTCGCTAGCTACTAACTTCTCGAGCATGAACTCCTTCACGGGGAGGTCGCCGGGCGGGTTATCCAGCGGAGGATTGTCTCCCGTCGACATGATCGGGAACTCCCCTTACAACATTCCCAACCCCCACAACCACTCACCACGCGCCTCGTTTGCCCGCCCACCTCACCAGCGGAACCTCAGCGAAACCCGGCGGTTGACGTCGCCCCGCAAGGTAACGGAGGTACCCAAATCCGGCATCTCCAAGATACCTGGTGGCTTCTTTATGTGCGAGTGCTGTCCGAAAAAGCCGAAGAAATTTGAAACGTCAGAAGAGCTCCGGTAAGTGGTGTGCTGCACGCGTCTATTGCTTAGCCCCGGCGATACACGCCCGATTCTACGGTGCATGGCTGATCGTTAACGCGGGTCTGCAGTGCGCATGAGGCTGAAAAGCAATACGAATGCACGTATTGCGGCAACCGGTTCAAGAACAAGAACGAAGCTGAGCGTCACCAAAACAGCCTCCACGTCCGGCGCCACAGCTGGTCATGTTCGGCGCTGCTCCCAGCGCGCTACGACCGGGCTTTTCACGAGAGCACCAATCGGCCAGGGGAAGCTGACACGTGTGGGTACTGCGGAGACGAATTTGAGCGCCGAGGCGGCGTTGGGCGCCCACGACAGCCAACGGAGCAGGATTGGGAAGAACGGCTGAGGCACCTCCAGGAGGTGCACAAATTCCGCGAATGCAACGCGAGCAAGAAATTCTACCGCGCGGATCATTTTCGACAGCACCTGAAGCACAGCCATGCGGGAACGAGTGGTAAGTGGACGAATATGCTCGAGAATGCCTGCATGCTCGAGGAAGAACCTCCTCAACCAGCACGATGAGCGAATTGAGCCGACCAGCGGAGCGATGGGTTGGGTAGCAATACGGCGCGGGGTGCTCGAGGAAAAATCGATACGTGGTGGACGTGCATTCATGCAGGCGGATTGATTTGTCGGGTTGGGGTAAGAGAGACGTCTTGTCGATGCACGACAACCCGCCACCGCGTTCGATTGGGCACTGAAGCCGAGGGAGGGCTTTGGTCAGTTGGGACAAGACCGGATATGCAGTGCGACTCAAGTCTCACCGCATCTAGGAGCAGACTCCGTTTCCTCTGTCGATCTCCCGCACGTCAGAGCGTTCCTCGCGCGCCCGGCGACGGGGTCTGCGGGCGCCGGCCGTCACGAAGCAATCCCAACTGGAGCCATCGGAGCAAGGAAGAAAAAAAAAAGAGGGAAGAGAAAAAGAAAAAAGAAAGCCGAGGGGAGGAGAGAGGGGACTCGCTAGTGATGACCGACCAACCCTAGCGTCAAGTATGTGGCTGGCGATATCAGGCGTCGCTACGGCGCCATGGGGGTCGGACGGTGTGGATTTGACGTTATCAATGGTGGATTTACGGGATACGGCTGCTTACTGACGGCACTACTCAATCGCGATGGGTATCTGATCTGCTTGGCACAGGAGGGCCCGATGCGGCCTGTCAATGCTCGTTCCAGAAATCGGCATGTTGAATAACCAGCGCATATAACCACAAATTCCACAGTTTTTTGTTTCCTGTCTCTCTCTCTCTGTGTCTTGTCCCTCTTTAGCGGTGGAGACGGGATATAGCGAGAAGAGAAGGGGGGCCGGGGTGGCGTAAAGTTCGGCCTACGTCTTATGTAAAACGGGAAAGAGGAAAACAAAAGCAGAAACGAATCTAGGTGTTGGCTGCAATTCTGGGAGGATATCTCAAATGAAAATGAACAATTTCTTCGAGTGGGCCGTGTAAGCTGACGATCGTGCTGACGCTGACTCTCATCCGTCATGGGGTCCTCTGCGTCTCTGCACCCGTATATACTTGTTTCTACCTATCACTCTCTAGGACACCAGCCCCCCGTAACAGGCGGATGTGGGTTGTGATACCTCGGTGAGAAGTTCGTTCGACTCGGAGATGCCATGCGACGCCCGAGGATCGTGTCTTGGGGCGCGAACCTGACCGAGGCCATCGTCTTTCAAACCATGGGAGCTTGCCTACGTATACGCCGTCACGCTGCATGCCGCTGTGGGGGCGAGATAATCTACGCGAGTGATGCTACCGGGATCACGGAAAATCGACGAGGCCATGCCCATCGGATCCGACATTCCCTCGGGCGACGGAAGTCGTTTCTGGAAGTCGGCATTTGGTCCGACGGCGGATAATACCTAGCGTGCCACGCCTCGAGGACCAGAGCGTCTCGGACCGGAGGTCGAGATGATGGTAGTGACGAGTAACGAACGCGCAGTTGCCGACTACCTACCCGCCTTTTCTTGGGACTTGGGAAGACGGGACTACAGCACGGGAGACAAATAGGCAAGACAGACAGCTAGAGCGGGATTTCCTTCCCGATTGCATACGGGACGGCGGCTTCAGGCTTGGTGCCGGGGTTACGGATGATGCTGCGGGCGAACGCGCTCCCAGTGAAGTCATCACGTACTTGAGGTACCTAAGCAACTCCGCGGGATTGGTGCAAGACGAAATAAGCCTGGCAGAAGTCACATGACTCAGCCCTACCGGAAAAAAGGTGTTGAAACTGGGATCACCTACATACATGGCACAGCCACGGACGCCACAGCATCTGTCCACGGGGACTGGCGGCGCTTACTCAGACTGAGCGGGATCTGATCTTTTATGGTTCCGATTTTCCAAAGCGACCGCTTATGTAATGCAGGCGAGATTGATAGGGCTTAAACTACGACAAGTGGGGGAAGGCCGAGGGGAAGGCCGAGAGGGGAGGGCCCTGATTTTTCGCGGGCGGATAATTCACGTCATCCATCAACTTCCCACTGATGAACATACCTAGGTATACCTACCACCTCGGTATCGCACGCGCGGTGCAGTCTCGTCGGGCGTATTCTACGTAGGGTCGAATCCCGCGTACAATCTCCGAGGCTTATGCCGTACCTACCTGTCTACTCTGGCCTGCCTGGGTATACTTAGGTATTGTAAACCATGTCGATATCTAGGGTGCCGGGGGCGGATAACCTCTACGTCGGAGGGTGAGCTGGCATCCCTCGACTTCCCACCCCCGCGGTCCTGACCGTGACGAGGGCTGACCTGGAATTGTAGGATCTGGATTCTAAACCTCGAGTCATGGCGCAGCAAGCTATATGAGTACAACATCACCCACGTGCTCTCCGTCATCAAGTTTTCCTTCGAGAACTGGGGCGAGGAAGCTAAGCGCTTCCGGCACATGAGCATAGACATCGACGATGTCGCAGACTCTGATATTCTAGTGCATTTTTCCTCCGCCGTGCGATTCATCGACGGCGGTCTGTACCCGCCGCCGGCCCACGGCGCCGGCCCGGGTGACGTGTCTGCGGGGACGGCCGATGCGACCTCGCCTGGCGCGGTTTTCGTACACTGCGCGATGGGAAAATCGCGTTCCGTGAGCTGCGTAGTTGCCTATCTCCTGTACAAGTACCCCCACCGCTTCGGGGGTAAGCCGCCTACCTCCTCACCGGTATCGGCGGCCCAGCGACATAAGACTGCCAAGGATGCCGTGCAAAACGCGCTGAAGTGGGTTCGCCAGGCGCGCTCGCTCGCGGAGCCCAACGACGGCTTCATGCACCAGCTCGAGCTGTGGTGGGAGATGGGATGCCCCGCCGACGACGACAGCGCCGTCGAGCGTCACCCCGTCTACCAGAAGTGGCTGTACGGGAATGTGCTGAAGGAAGCCCGATACTTGAACGTGGCGCCCGACGCCGAAGACATCCGGTTTGAGGACGAGGTGAAGTGGGGGAGTGAGGGCTCCGAAGGCTCAGAAAAACAACATGATGGCAAGGAAGTGCGTTGCAAGAAGTGCAGGCGTATGCTCGCGACTCCTGGGTTTGTTGTCCCGCATACCCCCGTAGGACAACTAGATACCCCCGGCTGCGCTCACATCTTCGTCGACACCCTCTCTTGGATGCGGCCGGCGCTGGAGGGCGGCGCTCTCGAAGGTCGCCTGTCGTGCCCTAACCCCAAGTGTGGCGCCACCGTCGGCCGCTTCGCGTGGCAGGGCCTCGAGTGCAGCTGCAGAGAGTGGGTGGCGCCGGCCTTCTCGCTCAACCGGGGCCGCGTCGACCAAGTGACGTCGAGACGGGCGGATGCCCCCGCAATCCGGCTGCCTCCAGGACGCAACGGTAGCTTATGATGTGCAATACTTCGCGCCCGGGCCCAGTATCGAAACGATCACCCGCATAATTTACGCCGTCTCACTTGGGTACACGTCTAACGAGTGTCTTATGCCAGCTGCTGCTGAAACCGCAGCTCTGTGGTCTCATGACAGGCAGACCGGCTGCGTGGGTTACCTCGCACTAATTCCTCCCATAAGCGCGAGCTGGCGATGCTTAGAGCCGTCGACCGATCTAGCCAACGCCCTCTTAGTTCCTTGGTAGGTATCTCACCTAACCCGCCGCTAAGTAAAGCGAAGGGCCGGGTCTAGGAGATAGAGGCTGGCTGAATTGGGCAATCTTTCTCGGCATCACTTCCATATGTATGAGCACACACACACACACACACACACACACACCCGCCTTATGACCCCTCCTTCTCGTCCCCAGAAGCTGTCACAAGACGGCCCCCAATCGCTACACATCACAGACCGTGCCGCCAACCGGGGTTCCTCTTTACGGCACACTATCCGGTTCCGTGCCACGTCGGCATGGCAAATCCGCACTCTAGGCTTAGGGCTTACCAGGTCCCTTCGCAAGAAGACCCGGGATGAACCTTGCTTACCGTCTAATCCTTGTGGGCATTCCTATTTCCCCATAGCGCGTGCGCGCGCGCGCGACGTTGTCGACATCCCGCCCCCCCTCACATGTGTCGTTACCGCTGTCGCTGTATGCCTACCTGCCTACAGGGACTTGCACCCCTGGTCTGCTAGCTGCGAAGCGTATTTCGCCAGAACGACGATGAAGCCAGCCCCTGCGCATCCTCCTCCAGCTACGCTGTACGTTCAGCCCTTCAGCGCCTACGCGCACACGTACGTGATGGGCCCGGGATTCGGATCGGGATTAGCCTGCGTCGGTCTCTCTTGCTTTCTCCCTGGCGGCCGGCGACGCGAGGCCATATTAAGCGAGCAGGGCCTTCCAGATAGGAGAGCGCTAATGCGTTGCGACCCATCATCAGCTCGGTCTGAGGCAGATATGAAGTGTCGGTGTGGACAGGTGGAACATCCAATCACCGATGCCCTTAGCCATGCTGATCTATGTACCTACCTACATACTTCCCGTGCGGTGGCACGCGATTGCAGACACGCCCCTCGCCATCCTCTCTCTCCTCCTCTCGACGGTGGGCAAATTTGGTCGCAGCCGTTGCCGTAGCCGCAGTACACGGCAGCACTTATTGCGCCAATGGCCGACGGCCTTTTGCCCCTCGGGCGCGAAGTGGAGGGCGGCCGAAATTATGTGAAGGACATGGAACCCGGACTGGTAAAACAGACGAGAGGAGAAGGAGTGGCTCAAGCCGGGGTTTTCCGCTGACGTCAAAACCGACGATGACCTGTCGCGCTACTACGGGCCCCATGGACCCCTAATATCTCTATAAGCCCAAACAAAAACCGACAACATCTTACCTCGGGATGCGGTTGCGGCTCATGTTGGGGGTCACGTTCCTGTAGAACTTTTTTTTTTGGGGCGGTATCGATGCGGGTTTGGGAGAATTCGTTCGTGGCGGCCCGCCAATTCGTCTCCGCCGTCCCCCGTTCGTCTTACCCGACTTGCGCCCGAAGCGTGCGCAGGCCGCGGCGATAGGATGACAACCAAGCTGCTCCAGGCGCCGTGGGGGGGGGGGGGGGAAGAGTAAGGGTGAAGATTTCCCATCACACCACTGAGAGGTTAGTTAGGCCATCGCGGAGGGACATTTCGCCTGATTACCTACCAAAGCTCCCTAGGGCTGACGGGTACGAGTCAGGTACATGGCTACACACGCCCACACGTAGGCTGGTGGTGGCTCCGGGCTACCAACGTATTGGAGCTTGGGTTTTAGGGCTGGAAGCTGGAAAAAAAACGATAATAAGAAGAAAAAAAAAAGTGATGAAATCCCACACTCCTCCCAAATGCGTGGACTTGCCGGATCAGACGAAAGCACCACGCAGCAAACCCACGTAGCAAGGTCGCGGCACAGGAACAGGGTAGGGTAGATAGGTAGATTTGTCACTCGATTGCCCCCCCCCCCCATGTTTCTGTCATCATCTTCTACAATCTGTCGCGTCTTGCCAGGGTGATTTCTATATCGTGATTATTACCGTCATCATCATTGTCGGCCGTCACCTCCTTAGGAGGTGGAGGCGGCGACGAGAAAAGTAAGCCGTTAACCCCCCCCCCCCCCCCTGGTTTAGCAATTCCACACGCGTATCAAACACGCCAAACCCGCCGTATCTGCCACGCGCGTGTATGAGTAGAAAGATAGCCAGGCGGATATATGTTTCTCCCCCCCCCTGCGGAGCAGCCACCTACGTCACCTCGTGGAAGGCCCGTCTCCCAATGCAGGAACGTGGGACGACGGCCACTCGCAGCCAGGGGAGAGGGGGGAGGGGGGGTGTGATGGGTGACAGGTCACTCGTCCCCCCCCCCTTCCCCCGCGGTCCCCGACGACGGCGACGACGGCGATACGAGACAGACTCTGACCTGCCGCGAGGTCGTCGCGCGCGCGAGGAAGCAACGCGTGATGCGCCACCGCGGCGCCCGCGTCGGTATACGTGTGCGTCTTGGTATACGTGCGTGTATACCTAGGTATACGTTGCGGGGGGGCGCGTGATTGGCGGGGCGGAGGTCGAAGAGCTAGGTCCCTGGGATGTAAGGTATGCCCGTATATGTGCGGACATGCGCGTAGTAAGAGCATGGGATGTAATGTAAGTAGGGTTCGACGGGACGGTTGCTTTTTGGGGGGGAGGGAAAAGGGGGGGGGGGGGGGGGGGAGAAAAAGCGAGGGAGGAAAGGGGGGGCGAGATGGATTGGTAATGCGGGCGAGCAGGATGATCGAAAGAGATCGGGTCGATAGAGATTCGAAGATGGGGCGATCGAGAGCAGAGCAGAGGACCGACGAGGCGGTGGCTAATACCGCCCAGCACAAGAAGATCCTACCGACCGATCGATCGACCGACCGACGGCGTGGGGATTTCCTGCTTCCTATTCCGTCCTGGCTGCGCTCCCACGGACGTGTCGCGCGTGGGGGGATCTGTCGAGTGCGTGGGCAAGCAGGTAGGTAGGTAGGTAGGTAGGTAGCTGGCGCGCTCTGTGCCCGCCTGTCTCTCGTCGGCGCCATTAGCGATTCGCGCGCGGGGGAAGGCAGCAAGCTGCTTGGTAATGGGCGCGTGTGCGCCACGAAACAATTACCCGAAAAAGGGGGAAGGGGGAAGGGGGAAGGGGGAAGGGGGGTCGCCCCTATATCCACATGCGGAAATGTCCCTGGGCTGTGTGCACCCTGCGAAGCAGATTTCGCACACACGCGCGCACATCGCGCTGATCAGGTATGGATACGCACACGCCGAGAGCGGCGCCATGCCGTGCTACCGCGAACAAGCGGTGCCCTCCCCTCCGTGATGGCACGCGCATTCTCGCGGCCGACATGCTTCCCCGCCCCGCCTACGTGCTCACTCGCCCATCTACCTACCTACCTACCTACCTAGGCAGGCAGGCAGGCCGGCTAGTCGCCGACGCCGACGCAGCTAGCTGCGCACCACCCAGGAGACGGAGGGGGAGGGCCGGTGTTGGTGGGAGGGGGGGAAGCGGACAGCTAGATAGATGCCAGACGCCGGTCTGCGTCCCGTACCCACCCCGTCTCGTCCCGTCGCTCGCCCGATTAGGCAGGCCAGGCGCATGCGCATTTTCCCAGCGCACGCGCGCACGATAACCGGGAGGGAGGGGAAGGGCGGAGGGGGGGCGGCGCTCGCGCTGGCGGCGCCTCACGACGTCGCCGGACCCAGCTATCCCACCAACCTGGTCTCATCCGCGTAAGCCCCGAAAACCGGGGAGGGTGTAGGCAGGGGGGAGGGGGGAAGGACGCGCCTCGAGCGCAACACGGAGATTAATAGGGCGATAGACGGCCCGGACAGGGGGGGGAGGAAGGAGGGAGGAAAGGGATGCGCGCCCCTCTCTCCCTGCCCCTGCGCTCGCAGCGGCGCGGGATGGCGAGGGAGAGAAAAAAAGAAAAAAAGGGAGGAGAAGGGGGGGGGAGGGGGGAGAAGCTCGCGAGGACGTGCTGCTGCGCACCACCCACTCCCGCCGCCGCCGCCGCCGCCGCCGCCGCTGCTGTTGCCCCGTCGGGGGGGACCCGACCCGCATGCCGCGGCCGACGAAGCGGCCGACCCGCCCACGTTACCGCGTAACCTGCCCCCGCCCAGAGCTAGGCAGGTAGAGGTAAGTCTCCCCCTTAACCTACCAACGTCCCCTGGCCCCTCCCCCCCTTCGTAGAAGCCGGGGAGCTCGTAAGTCCGAATCGACTTCAGCCCTACCGCCCTGCCTGCCCCCTGTTAGTAGGTAGGTAGGTAGCGAATTCACCGCGTGACTCGCTGCTTTTTTTTTTTTTTTCATTTTTTGCTTTTCCTCGCGTGAGGCCCCGACCATGGTGCTGCTCTGCCTTGCCTGCCTGTCCCGCACTCTGCTACCATGTGGTATATACCTACATCGCGCTCCACCGCGGCGCACCTGCGCTCCCGGCCTCTCTCTAGCATCCCTCCGTCCCGCCCAGCGGCGCGAGGTGCGCGGCGTGTGCGCGTAACGCGCCGCGTAGAATAGGGGGGGAGGGGCGAGTTGTTGGTGGCGCGCAGGGACTAGTATGACGAGGAGGGGGAGTAGGGTAGACCCGAAGTGAACGCCGCGGTGGCTTGTGGCCTCGCCCAGGCGCGTGCATACGTGGGAAAGGGGGAGGGGGGGCGTGTACGCAGGGACGCAGTGAGAGCGCCCACGTCGGGCGTGTGTGTAGCCACGTACGGGGACGTCGCCGCAGCACCTCCCTGCCCGCCTGTCTCTCCCTCCCCCCTACCCGAGTACTCATGAAGCCGGCCGCCTGTGCGCAGCCGTGCGTCCGCACACGCAAAGTAATCCAAGGCAGCCTCTCACGCATACCTACCGAGTACCTAGCGAGCAGATAGGCAGGCAGGCAGGCAGGTACCAGATATAGGCGACGGGGCGGATCGGGCGTACCACCCACATGCGCACCTAGGCGTATAAGGCATATGCGCGCACGTACCTATACGACGACCGCGGCGGCGACCGCGGCGGGACCCGGGAGGATCGCGAAGCTGGGGGAGGAGTGGGGAGGGGGGGGGAGGGTGCTTAGGGACCTACTCCATGCGTATGTATGTACCTACATTATGTACAGACATACTGCGTAGTACCCTGTTAGGTTTTCCTAAGCTTAGGTACGTCCTCGGTAGCTAGGATCGATCGAGGGTGCCCCGTCCTGCTCCGGGTCTGTAGTACGTAGGTAAGTATGCTGCTGACGCTAGCAGTGCCTTTCTTGTTCTTATCTCTCTCTCTCTCTGTCTGTCTCTGTCTCTCTCCTTTTTTACCTAAATTGGGAATTACCGAGGACCGGGGGGGGAAGGGGGTGTATGTAGGCTTCCCTTTCCTCCCTGCCCTACTACTGTTACTCTTCTTGTCCTCACACATACGCACCCCCCTACCCCCCTTGATCTTACCGGACGAGGCTCACTATGGTCGGCGAGCGAGCGGCGACGGTGATTTGTCGGCAGTAGCCGCAGATGGGCGGACAGCGCGTACGCAGTTGGCAGGGTTGCTTGCCCATCCGCTTCGATGGCATCTATGGATGCATGCATGGATGCATGCATGTATGGTTATGTGTATGTACACACAGATGCGTGGGATATGTGAGCGTGATACTGCATTTCCCCTGTACGAAGAGGGCGCGCCGCGGCGGCAGATAGGCGGATAAATGGATACCTCCTGTGTAGAGATGTACAGATAACTTACAAACACACTTTCCTACCCACCTTTCCGTCCGGGATTGTCGCTTTAGGAAATAGACGAGAGGGGGAAGTGATGGAGTGGAGTGGAGGAAACGAGGAGCGGGGAGAAGGGAGGAAGGGAGGGGGCGAAGGTGAGGTGAGTGGACAGAATATACAGAGGTAGGGCAAGAAGGCGAGAAGGATCAATATGCATCTCTCCACAGGTGCGGAGTACTAAGGCGGTCAGTCGGAGAAGGGAGCGGCTGGGGGGAGTTTCTCGAGATTTTGGCTAGGCGCCATGTCCTATCCCATTGTCCTGTTGTCCTGTCTGTCTGTGTACCTGCCCGTTTGGCTCCCTGGCGTGCTTGTCGAGGACTCCGTGATGGCGACGGTGATGGCGACAGAGAGAGACAGAGAGGGAGGGACGCAGTCGACCCTTACGACGTCGGATAAGCAGCTGCTGGCTTCAACACCCGGATAGCCTCCCACCCCATCCCCACCAGGCGATCAGCTGCCTCCTGGTCTATGTGGGTGCCGGGCAACGAAGGGGGGAGAATGTACGTACGTCCCTCCACCCCACCACCACCGTCCCTACATATATTGCCATGATGTGTCGGCTATCGTCTTTTCTAGGCCTAGATATGGAGCCCGCTAACACATCAGCACGTCTGTGTCAGAGCTTGGGGTGTGGTAGGGTGGCTGGTTGATTGGGCTTACGGATTTCCGCTGCTGGACCGAGAGCAGGGCAGACCTACCTACCTACCTTACGTAAACGTCAGCAGCACTGGAACTTTGTCGATACGGGTGCTGACGGTATCCAAAGCAAAAGTACGGTAGGTAGGGAAGAGGCGGCACGTAGGCAAGGCAGGCAGGTGATGTAATGACACTATCGCCGGGGGGTAAGACCGAACAAGCGTACATCGAACCCTCACCCCCCTTTCCTCCCCCCTACTTTACGATGAGCGGCGGTGGCGGTATCTTCTCGACTGGGGAGGAGGGGGTTGTTAGTTAGAGCTACCCGGTCAGGTCAATGGGCGCGTTTCCGAAGTCGAGACTGGTTTGGTTCGGCTAACCGCCAGGATCTCGCCAGATCTCGACTTTAGATGGTCCATATACCTTCCATCCCCCTTAGGTGCCTGACAAGCTGGGTAACACATACACTGTTACGAACACGGTGAGTGGAGCAGCGTTTCCATCTTGAATCAGCCCCATTTTTCCAACATTCGTCAGGTTTGTTCGCGGCGATATCGTGCTGCGGTGCTGGCTAAAAGCCGATACCCCTGGCGAGCAGACACGCCATTACGATAGCATGTCTTGTTAAGGGGACACCGTATCGTCTTTGCTTTTTGCTGTACGCCAGCCGCCACGGGGTTCCGGATAGAAGCATTATAAGTAACGCACACCTCCTGTGACACGCTCGCCTGAGGGGGTCACACGACATGGGGAGAGAGAGAGAGAGGACCCACCACCAGGGCTTAGCGGCAACGAGGGTCTCCGTATGTCGTATACAGTACGTGTAGTAGCACAGGGGAGGAATGGATCTTGACTTGCCATACGAGTTACACTCTCGGCCCGGTCCAGGCCGTGCCCAAACTTAGCACTATCTCCGATCCTACGCAGGGTGTGTTCCAAATTAGAACGCGCCGGCAGCCAGGGTTAGACAAGGATACAAATTTTCGTGGAGTAGTGCATAGTAGGGCGGTACTGAGACGTCTTACGTCGGGCTTTGGGCAGCTAGGGAGCCTTTCGCTGCGCGAGTGCTACGCGTAGCCGCCCCATCAGCCACGGAGACGCCAGCCCTATGCAGCCCAGAGCGAAAAGGGGGGATCCTATTAGCAGAGCGGCAGCACCCGCCCGGTCGAGAAGGAGAAGCAACGAGGAGAAGCCACCGGATTGGTCGCTAGAAGCGCCTCCACGGCCGCGGCGCCGTCGACACGCCTACGACACTCCTTTGCCGTTCCGAGAGACCCGGCCAATCTGCGGGTTCGCACGCGCACTGTTGGCAACCCCCCCCCCTCCCCCCCCCTCAGCGGGAGGTTCCAAGCGTGCCGATTCGGCGTTGGCGTAACTCGAGCGTCGCCCCGTAAACCGGTGCAGCTTCCAGATCGTTAGACCCCAGCATACACGTCCTTTCGGTGCTCTGGTGGCTTGTCGTTCGGAGACGCACACCCCTTTCCAGGATTATCGCAGTCGCCAAGGCGTACGTGTCCCAATAGACCATCTCACGCACGTCTATGATCTGAATGCAGAGTTAGATCTTTCTTCCAAAACCCTAGGTATAATGTAACTCCTTCGTGACTTGAGCCTCATCCCCAACCTTTAGGATCGTGAGGCGGTATGTCCACTCATTGATTCTACCTACGTCCACCCTTAAGATCTGAGGCGAGCCGTATACACACGGTGTGCTCTAGGGGCCTGGTTGCACAACTAGGCGATATGGCCCCCAAAGGCTGGTTATTGTGCGTATGGCGTGCGAACTTGAGTGGGATCTCGCCTTTTGTGGCTGAGTGAGACAAATCATGAGGACGGAAAGGGGCATATTCCGAGCTCAACCTAGTCCGCATCGCGCCTCGACAGCGCCAGCAAACCGGTGGCGCATAATCACTACTGTGCAACCGACGGTCATCGGCCCTACACAGAAAACAGGCACGGATGGAGATGTACTCGGTTTGGTGTATGCAGGTCTCGTTCGCTTGGGTCCTGCGCCGCACTAGGTGATGATTGGGATGGCTGTCCTGTCCTCACTTTATAACATCCCATGGTGACATCATCCCACGCTGAGAATCAACGTTACCAACAGATGAATCTGCTTCTCGGGTGCCCAATGGCTGTCTTGATGTCTCACCCAGGGGATGCCTCGTAGGGCGCTTTGCCAAGACCAGAGGCGCATCCAGACGACTCATCGGCAGCGGCATTAGCCCAATGCAGATGCTGGCGCACGGCTGCTATCTGGTGGGAAACTCCTCGCTCCATGGGGTAGTCCTAGAGGTAGATAGATGATCCGAATCTATTATATGATAGAATAGGGGAGGGGTACACCAATCTGAGCGTCAGCACTAGGTGATATGCGTCTCTTGTTAGACATCCCCACGTAACAGGAATATTCAAAGAGGGACCCCGGCTCGTCAACCGGTCCGAAGCCGGTTGGCAAAGCCCTGTATACGTCTCCAAATGCAGCTCGACAGCGCCGAGAAAAGTAGGGCAGGTCGCATGCAAGGCGAGAACATGAGATACCAGCAGAAGCGGAAAGAGAAAAGGAGAGAGTGTGCGTGCGCGTGTATGCACTGCCACCTATACCCGGGAGGCTTGCGTCGTCCGACTACGAATCTGTTGGGACCTTGGTGTTCTACAGTGCAAGTGGTGACGCATGACTTAAAATTGCGAAAATTCTCGTGAATCTTGAAAAGACCCTGTGGCCGACGCCAGAATCAGTAGCGGGCAAATTTCCATCCGTTATTAGACGTCGTGGCTCGACACCTCTCGCATCCTGAGAGCGGCGACCTGTCGTAAGAGCTGTGGTAGATAAAGGCTTTTTCGTCTGGTTGTTCTGCTGGGGAGGAGACAATAAACATCTGTACTGTACAAGAGGGGGGGGCACCTTGGCATCCCAGTGGTGACATGGAGGAGTAATCACGGCTGATTACCGTCGTGGATCGGGACGACTGCGATGCGGCACGCCGGAAATCGACGGGTTGGCGGAGATTGGGTTCGTCCCAATAGCTCGTGTCACTTATTGTAGGGCTAGCATCAGAACGTGCCTATGCCCCAGCCCATCCAGAGAAATCTCCGAATATCGCTAGACCTGATTCCAGGCTTACGCCGCGTCGTGCTTGTTGCTTTCGTGCAACGGCTTTTTAAAAATGGTGCTGCTGTGACGTTTCCGTTCGGAGAGGACGGCGGGAAATTTCTCAGTCGTCACACATCTATTAGGCATTGAAACCGCAGAGTCGTATGCCATGCGTAACCGCCGAAATGAGTGCCGCTGGTTTATCCTCGTGACCTTATCGGCAAAGCACGAACTGCACTTATGGTGCATGAATTCGTCAATATGGCAAGATGACTGGAAGATCAACCGCCTCTTTAAGCATCTCACATCACAGCATTCGCTGTTTTGTTTCTCGGAATGGCGTCAAGCCTGCAGTCGTGTGCTGCTAACACTGAGTAAGCGCTAGCCTCGTTCGGGAGGGTTGCAGAAACAGTCAAGTGGTTGGCTGGGTTAGGGGGAGTATACGACGGCATGGTTAGGTCGCATCGTAATATCCCAAGTGTGCGTTAAGTATGGACGGCGTGGAGTGCCGGGAATGAAGCTCGCCAAATATTTCTTTTGATGCTCGGAAGGTTGTCGGCGTGGGAGGGGGGCGAGATGGTCGCTGTCGAATGAGTTGTCGTGCAGCATATTTGTGCCAGCTCCGCGACCATTGTATGCTGTCAGCCTTGACAGGCAATTTTGGGTTGTACGACCCATAGGGCAGAATCAACGACCACTTCGCTTGTCAGCTTGCAGATGTTCCTCTTCGGTTACCAGTGTGAAGGACCCGTCCGGTTGAAGTACACACAACTGAAAAAATAAAAAATAATAAATAATAAAGCAGTCAAGTCTGTCGACCGAGTGCATATGTAGCGGGGATACATTTGTGGGTGTGGCCGCAGGAAGCAGTAGGTGCATCCCCGTAGGACTATCCCAACCCGAGATACGCAGCGGTGCGTCAGGCTCACCACCTTGATAGGTCGATTCGCTTCTCGATCGGGAACATTATGTAACCGTAGGGCACTTCGGCCATGTATCGTAAGCGGTTCGTCGGCGATCTGTTGTGAGTAGTGATACCATTCTGCCAGCCAAGAGGGCTACCACACAAAGCACCCAATACGCTTTCCGAGGGATGCTTGTCCCCGCACGTCGTCCATGCGATACCGCAACCTTCTCTGTGGCCTGGGGTCGAGCCATAGGAGACCGGTGAGAACAGCCGTCCGTGATAAGAGCCAGTTGAGGCCGAACCTGCGTGAGCATGGGTATGTCCGCTTCTCAAGGCAGGTCTCTAGGAACAGATGGGAAGAAGTTGGGAGTATTGAGACGCTCCCGGTTCCTCTTAGCCATCTCCGCTTGTCGTTTCCTATCTAGGCGTTGCTGGTAGAATGTCCTGTATGCTGTTAGCGACTGGTGGCGTGTGCGCCGAAAGGAAAGGGGGGGGGGGGTGACTTTTGCAACGCAAAGATTCGTGGCTCCTCCTCCGCCTTATCCTATGCACGTTAGTCTGCAAAGTCTTGGAGGTCCGAGTCGGAGACGTACTTGGTCGCCGGGGGTTGGCTCGTCTTTCTTTTCTGGCTTTTTGGCGTCCTCTCTCTTCTCTTCGTTGTCCTTGCCCTTTTCCTTCCCCTCGCCCTTTTCGCCCTCTTTCTTCTCCTGTTTCTTCCGCTGCCTCTCTTCGTACTCCTTCTTCACCTTCTCGAGCTCTTCTTCCATCTCCTTTTTCTTCCTTGCCGCAATAGCCTCGTGGTCAATGATGGGAGAACAGAACCCCCTATCTTTCAGGTGACCAGGGCATACGTAGAAGAAATCCTGGAGACAGGCAGATCAGGAAGAAGGCCCCGGAGTGGAGGGGGCGACATCTCAACCTACCTTGTTCTCCGGGGTAATGAGCACGCTGGTACTGGGCTTGAAGCAGATATCGCAGGCTTTGGCTGAAGTGTCAGCCACCTTCCGATGGTGCCAAATATTAGGGAACGACATGGTTAACTATCTCCTGCTCGGACTCGGATTGAGAGGTAGACGGGCACTGAGGATCGAGAAGGGAGATAACTAGAGGGGGGGAAGAGACGATAGGCGACCGATAGGCGGATACCTGTGTGTGTCCCTATAGCATCCCTACGGTGACGGATGAACCCCAGACGGGAGACGGGAGGCGGGAGACGGTGTGTTGCGTCTGGCTGTGCTGTGCTGTGCTGTGCTGTGCTGGGCATGCCTGACGAAGTAAGGTGGGAGTTGAAGCATTGGAGATTTGATCGTAGGAATTGGAGGTTCCCGAGGTCAGGTTAGGTACAAAAGATAGGGCGGGGACGGTGGGTATGTGGTGTGGTGGGGTGGATCGGGATTACCTTGGGTAATTTCAAGAGGTAGGTACGTACCTATACAAGCGTCAATCTATAGGGTCAGCCACATTTCGATGGGGTTATGCCACACAAGCCGCACAAGCTGCACAAAAGCCACACATGTGTAGGAGAAGTCTTGGCGGCACCGTGGATGAAACACTCATTTTCCAACAGCCAATTACGTAAACAGGGCTTGGAAATCCAGCTGCGCGTTCTATGTACATATTGATGTACACGCTCGCACAGATTCCCTCTAGCACTGCATCCAAAAGGTACCGGCACGGGTACCTGCCATTGGGCCCCTGTACGTCATGTCTCGCGGGCGTGGCATCATTGTATGTCGGCAGACGACAACCTCGACCGCGTCGTCTGCAACACACGCCCAGCTCGTCAATTGCCCGACTCCCTCCGCCTACAGCCTTCACCGAGCGTAGCCGGCAGCATAATTCGATATACTGATTCCATTATATTTTCATTTCACCTGATACATCCCCGAGCCGCCCCCCCTGAGGCTGCCGCTTCAGGCACCATGGCCGGTCAACTGAATGTCCAGAGGCTGGACTCGGTATTCCGCACGCGGCCAGATATATTAGAATCTATCCATAAGGCTGCTGGTAAGTCCTTGTCGACTGCAGTGCTTACTTCGTTAAACTTCTGGTGTCGCTGACTATCTAGTTCAGACTCACCCTCGCGAGTGCAGCTGTTTAATAAGATTGCCGATTTTGTATATGAACAGATCGGAAACCCGTCATCTTCCGGGCCCGCTGCTAAGCGGCGGCGAGTCGACGTCGAGCCCTCCCAGAATGGCAGCGCATCGAATGCCGCCACAGTCGCGACTTCCATCGATGATGTCGCCAGCGAGGATATCCTGCTGGAAATCAAGGATATATCCATCTCCATTCCACAGCGAAAGAAGTTCGAGTTGTGCTTTACCTCTAAACATATATATGCCCGCGTCCCAGGCACGACTGCCCCCGTGCCCGGGATCGTGTACGCCTGGAAGGATATCGGTACGCGCGTCCACGCCAGGCCAGATCGCGCGACTGCAGCTAACAGTTCGCGCAGAGTACGCTTTCTATCTCCCTGTTCCCGAGAAGTCTCAGGTGCAGCATAATTACATCCTCCTGCCGCAACATTCTTACTTCAACCTGAAATCCACAACACCATCGGTAGATCCTCTCGTTTTCACCGTCTCGGCCGGCGCGCCCAAACCAGGCTCTATTGGCGGGCCGAATGCGGGGGCGGCCTCTGCCGTGTCGGATTCGTATGCCACGCTATTCCACTGGGCCATAAACAAATGTCTCAAGGCGGGAGGGGGAGACGTGCAAATCGTCGCGGCGGACCCTTCGAAATTCCACAGTAAGGTCCGGCAGCCGCACCGGCCCAAGGAGCCAGCCGTCCACGTCAAGGCGTTCCGGGGCTCGAAGGACGGATACCTGTTCTTCCTAGAGAACGGAATCCTGTGGGGATTCAAGAAGCCGCTGATGTTCATACCGCTGGAAAAAATTGCGGCCATCAGCTACACAAACGTGCTACAACGGACGTTCAACATGGTGGTCGAAGTCTTCTCAGGCGAAAACGGCGGCGACGAGGCGACGGAGGACCTCGAATTCGCCATGCTCGACCAGGAGGATTACGGGGGCATCAACGAGAGCTACGTCGCGCGCCACAAGCTCCAGGACCGGAGCATGGCGGACCGGCGCAAGGCGAAGAAGGAGCTGGTAGAGAACGCGAAGGGCAAGAAGGGAGCGGACGATGCCAACGGCGAGGGGCGGGATGCTAACGGCCACGTCACCGAGGACGACGGTATGACAGAGCTAGAGCGGGCGCAGATGGAGGCCGAGAAACAGCTGCAGGATGAGGAGGACGAGGAAGAGGAAGACTACGACCCGGGCTCCGACGGCGACAGCGACGGCTCGGGAACGAGCTCTGAGGGGGACGACGATGACGACGACGACGACGGGGTCGAGGACGGGGGTGACGACGGTGATGAGTGAACTCACACCACGAGATAGTAAACCGCAGCAAACAGCAGGGCACTAGGCACGTAGGTAGATATAGGCAACCACGAAGCGTACCCCTTCTAGAGGGGAGCGTTACTTAGATGTCGTGCACATAAGCGGAATGGTCGCGAAAAATAATATTGATTTGGCCCTCGCAGTGGCCCGCGCACGTCAGTGATTTAAATGTTGGGGGCAACCAAACCTATCGATCCTATACACGGGAAAGCAAGACAGCAACTCCGCGTATGTATGTACCCGTATGAAACCGAGGGACACCAAACCTCCCACGTCAGCCCAACCTAACTCGTGGCAGAGGGCAGCCGACGCCTATCCCGGAGCGGAGCGCAGGGCCATAGCCCGGACGAGGATGGGTTGGCTCGGGGGGACGCCAGCCGCGTGGCGCTGGCGCCAGCGCCAACTTGTGTAATTGATATAACTAGTCGAACATGCCGGGGGAGCACCCCGACGGCCCCAGGCACTTGCTCTTGCCCAGCCTGCTCTCGGGGCTTTAGAGGACGCGGGGCCCTGAAGGTGAGCAAGGGGCGGAAGGGGAGGGAAAGAATAATCATTCGCGTGCTCTCGAGCTGCACCACAGCCGGAGCCGTCTTCCCGACGATAGCAGCAGAACAAGACAGGGTGGCGCAGCCCGCGTCGAGGGGCTGCGGAGACTGCGTGTGGGTTAGTGGTGCCGACCCCGGGGGAGCTGTCGACGGCGTAGTCGAGCGAGGACTCGCGGCCGCGAAGGAGATGTCGTCGCGGCGCAGCACCGGCATCCAGGGTCCTATTCGAGCAGCGGGCGACGGGGCGCTACGTCGAACAACTTCGGTTCGCAGCCGTGGCGTCGGCGGGCCTGCCGCCACCGTTGGGCACAAGGCTTGCTCGTTTCCTCATCGTTCCGCGACTCACCCATATTCTAGGCTGGGTTGAAATTCTCGTTGGGAGTGTAGGACGCACCCGGAACTGAACCTCGCATTTCGTGGGTCCGTCGCCGCTGCGACCCCCGGAGATCACGCCGTTTCCGTTCGTCCGTCTCTTGCACAGCTGTCGACTTCTGCTTTTTTCTGGCAATAGAAGGGGCCTCGGCTGCGTATAGGGCCATGCTGCCTTGAGTCAAAGTGAGAACGGGGTTCCTGTTGAGTAAGCGGGCCATGCGGATATTACAGCCAAGGCTCACGTATAGTGGCTACGTAGACACCGGCTGGGGAGACCTCCGGTGCACAGTAGGACCTCAGATCCGTCCTCCACCGAGGCGACATAATATAAATCTGTGCAAGTCTTTGGCCGTCCCAGGTCACTCTAGATCAGTGCAAGTAGTTGCTGTGTGCGATTGCGAAACCATTCGTCTGTCTCAGGCTCAACTGCCTACGCCTGCTCTCTGCCTATGTTACAGTTAGGGGGGGGGGGGCGTATACAGTGAAAAGAAGAATACTGGATGGTCTGTACGGCTCTCTCCCTTGGTGATCTCTCTCTCGTTCTTGTTTCGCTGCGTCGGTGTGGTAGCGAAGACAGTAGCATTCCATCTCCCAGTGTCTGTCTGTGTCCGTAATGGCAATACAACTGTGTGCTGGATGGTTGTCATAGAGTAACGGCTGATTCCCCAATGGCATAGAGTTGCGTAGTAGGGTTCGGGATAGTAACCTTAGCTCTAAGGCCACGACTTTTCGGGCATTGCTAGCTTAGTAGACAATCATTAGGGTAACTAACATGCTTGCGTGTTTCTATTAATGGTCCGTATGAGGTATACCTACACAGGTTAAATTACCTCTAGATCACAGCCAGTTCCCACTTACAACGACGAATAACGTGTATCTGCCTAGGAACTTTCGTCGAGTAGCTTATTGGTATCGCAGTGATAATACAGCTGATAGTGGATTATTATTCCTGCCGTGTGAGGCCGCGGTAGGGTTTCTAGTTACAGGTTGAAACCTGGGGTTTGTTCGACTCAGGCAAAACCCATCTCATACCTAAAGTCTTCGAAGTTCAATAGATTTAGCTGGTGCTTACCACGGCGGAGTCATAAGCCCGATTAGGGCGAAGGGGCTTCATTCCTTTTCCATCCTGAAGTTGTTTCTTAAATCCGCCCTTGAAAATACCCATGTATTAGGGGGAGATTGTATGGGGAGTATGTAGAGGGGTGGAGTTACGAAAGACATCGCTGTGTCTTTCTCCACAAAAAGTTTTACACAAGCAACACGTATAAAGCTGAACGGCGTAAGGCTAACTTGGAGGTCTGACATCAAACGTATCGTCTGATGAGATACTCAGACCACACTAAGAAGAAGCTTCTTAACGGGAAATCTTGAGAAACGTGGTAAAGATCTAAGAAATCGATGTGGAGATAGTGAGGTCTGACATCCGATGTATCGTCGGATGTACCCCCCCGACGTATCGTCCAGAAAGTAGACTCTCAGACTTCACCTCCATATGCGGGCAGTAGTCTTCTCAACTATGTAGGCAGGCAGGTCGTCGATCTAGAGCCGGCCGGCTTAGTTCGACGTCATCCCGGTACCTCAATCACTCCTATTTTTAAGCCGCAACGTGCCCGTAAGCCGTTGTGTAGGTATACTCGTAAACGGGGCTAGGCAAGACGGCGTTGTCGATCCCCTGATGAATTTCCTGTTCGTACGCCAATTGGCATTGCCGGGGCTCGGCTAGTTTAGCATGTCTTGCTACTGCCCGGACAGATGACCGGCACGGGGAAGATGAATCGTAGTCTAGGGAGTTCATTCTCTGGCGCGAATTTGTTCATCCGCCTGCGGAATAGCATCCCAGCTCCTATCCTCGTGTAAGCAGGGGGGGGTGAGCAGGAGGTATATGTATTATAGGCGTAAAAGTATCGTCATCCCCTGGGCTCGACCAAACTTTCTCTCCTGCACCTCGACTGGCAATTCCACTAGGAGGCTCTCTCAACCGTACTCATAATCGAATAGGGCTGATTGGCGGCAAGCGACGTGCAGGGTTGGCAAGGGGCCGATGTCGTCTTGATAAACTCCAGTTCAATGCAAGCTGTGCACCGGATTCCATCACAGCCACGCCAGTAGTTATGCCATCATATCCCGTATCCGTATTCGGTATAAGCAGCAATGTCTAATTAGTCTTGGAAGCTCGAGTTCCGGCACGCCGATGCGACTCTGCCCTCCACATCTGCCTCTGTGCGGGATCGCCAATGCTGCTGGGCTGATCGGGCATTTATTTAGAGTTGAAGGGCGGTTAGCCCGCAGCATTTGCGCGCACTACTATCGCCGGTAGGGTAGTTAAGGAGACCCAAGGAGCGGGCCGTACGCAACCCACGAATACTTAGCTGAAATGGTGGGATCGCAAGTGAGCATTGATAACTTAGAGGTGTATGTAGTTGGGGGGTTGATCACTCCTTTGCTGCTGGTATAATTATAAGATATCCACGTCCCCTCTAGTCAAGGTAGTGTGCGGTAACGGCCAGAGTCTCCCGCGCCACAACTACGACCGAGTTCGGAATGGAGGCGATCCAACGTATTCTCCCGGGGGGGCTGCTGGTGTCCCTCCAAGTGGTGCTGGCAACACTGGTACTCGGCACCATCTATTCGCTTGTCACTGCGGAGCGGCCCTTTGCCGGGTTCCCAGTCATCGCGCTCGAGGGCAAGAGTCCGGTAAAAAGTTGGACGTGGCATGGCCGGGAAGCCATCGCAGAAGGCTTGCGAAGGGTAATACACATATGTTTGGGCACAAACGCGATCCAGCTCGTTGCCGCTGACCTCGTTCGCAGTTCTCCGGGCCCTTCCAGGTCATGTCCGGGACTGGCCCAAAAATTGTCCTGCCAAATCGGTTCGCCGACGAGATTCGCAACCACCCTTCATTTGATCTCAACGAGGCATTGGCTAAAGTATGAGCTCCCTGGTATATGCCGTCACGCTGCCCTCCAAGTAGCTGACGCCGTGAAATAGGATTTTATGGTCAACTACCCAGGCTTCGAGCCCCATCGGCAGCTGCGAGGAAACCATCTATTTCTGGAGACAGTGCGGGTGAAACTTACACAGTCTCTCAGCTTGGTCACGACGGATCTCATCGACGAGACAGCCTCGTCGCTCTACGACGTGCTTGGCGATGGCGACGAATGGACGACACGAGCAATTAGACAGGACATGCTGGAAATTGTCGCCCGGCTTTCGTCCAGGGTGTTCTTGGGAAAGGACTTATGCCGAAACCGGACCTGGCTTGAGATCGCTAAAAACTATACTGTCGACTCGTTCATCGTCTCGAACATTATGAGGGCTGCCCCGGCGGTCCTGCGTCCAATCGTCTACATATGCCTCCCTCAGTCGTGGTCACTAATACGGGCCGTCCGGGACGCGCGAAAGCTTATCAACCCCGAGGTGGAGCGTCGCAAGGCCTTGGTCGACGCGGCTCGTGCCTCGGGCAATAAGGCGTCCAAAGTCGCGGATACCATCGGATGGATGTATGAGCTGGCGAAGGGCCGCAAGGCGGATTTGGTTGCGGGCCAGCTCTTGCTCACGATGGCAGCCATACACACGACAACAGAGACGACTTGCCAGGCACTGCTCGACATCTGCCAGTATCCCGACGTGGCCCGGCAACTTAGAGAGGAGGTTATCCAAGTCGTCGGCGAGCATGGGTGGGCTAAGACGTCGCTATACAAGCTTAGGCTTATGGACAGCTTCCTGAAGGAGGGACAACGACTCCACCCCATGGTTACATGTGAGTCTCCCATCCCTCCCTCTTCGGCCCCGGTATGGCTTTGCTAAAGGGAAGCCTAGCAACTATGAACCGCTACGTAACGGAAAACGTAGAACTCTCGGATGGGACTGTACTGCCAAAGGGCGCTCAGGTTATCGTGGCAACCAACTTCATGGACCCAACGATTTACCCCGAGCCTGAGAAATTCGATGCTGCGAGGTTCCTGAAGTTGCGACAGCAAACCGGCCAAGAGAACAACTGGCAGTTCGTCACCACAACCCCGTCCCATACTCTTTTTGGACACGGTCAGCATGCTTGCCCGGGACGGTTCTTCGCCTCGAACGAGGTGAAGATCGCACTATGCCATTTCCTGCTGAAGTACGAGTGGAGATTTCTTCCGGGCGAAGACAGACCAGCTCCCCAACTGTTTGAGTCCGTCTCCAGCGTTAGGCCAGACTCGAAGGTCCAGGTGCTGCGGAGGAAGGCGGAAATTGACCTTGACAATTACTGAGTCTCTCAAAGGACATTGTTCATGCCTAGTTTTTATGGGCCGGACAGCCCTATTGAACTGAGATCAACCGTAGGCATTGAGAAGGAACTGTGCGTACGCGCTGTTGGGGAGCCCGTAAATTGAACAGGAAATGCCCTCTATCTGCAACCATAGCCCGAGCGAGGCTCGTATATAGGTAAGGAATCCTATCGACATAAAGGCGAGGTATCCGACAATGCAATATTGTATTAAGTCCGGCCCATGGTTACTGAGATATAGTGGTCGCTAGCCTAAGGGGCATAAGGATATAAGTAGAAAAAGGGCATGGACAAAAGTCACACATTCGGCCATAGCGGCACGAGCAAGAGACTTAAATCTTCGCGATTAGGATAGGTGCATTGATTTGAAAGAGAGAAATTCAATGGTGCAAAGAAGTCTTTAATTTGAGTGAAGATACCTCAAGGCAATAAATAGTAAATGGTTATGTTGGTGGTGGTGAAGTCCGTGTACGAGCCTTCTGTGTCCCCTTCTCTTCATAATAGGTATCACTGCGCGCTTGCGGGGTGGTCACTCTGAATAGGCGTATGGCTTGACGTGTCTCTCCGTACAACTATTACAATGCGAGAAAAACTTCAACTCCTCTTCTTCTCTCCCTTCTTCACTTCATCTTGGGATCACAGAGTACGCAAGATTTCGCGTAAGTAATAAATTGTCACCCCGCAGCGCATTGATATCAGAGCCTTCCTGCCCCGCGATCCTTGCTTCAGCTTCCCAGACAGCCTTTCTAGTCCTTTCGTGAACCCGACCGAACGCCCACTCCCATAGTTGGGTTTTTTGCGCCAGCGCAGTTTTTGTGCGAATGACTGTTGTCTACGGGTGATGCGAGAACCCCGCGAAGAAGAGCTATGAGAGAGATGCTAAAGGTCACATATGCCTGTGTGAACCCTAACATTCTCTTTCGCGTGCCCTGGGGAGGTATTGGACCTTTTCTCTCTGGATGTGCCTTACTACTAGATCTAGTCCAGATCTAGGGCTATCCTACAGGAGCCCATACAGGGTCTGATTGCAATCTAGCATCGCATCCTCAACCGACGCGGGCGGTAGAAAACGGGGCTAGCCAACTCGCGATTGGGTACGCACCCGGGGCCTGGCAGAGCGCAATCACGATCTCTTCTGATGGATCATGATGGAAAATTCATGGACAGTGGAAACGCTTAATCTCCGTTTCACCATGATCCAGCTAGACCTGGGATGGGAAGGCTTCATATATGTGATCTCCTTCGATCTTGCTGCGGAGCTTGTAAAGCCCTTCTTACAGTCGGAATCAAGGCGATGCGCTTGCCAAAGTCGATGCGTTCATATTGCCTTGTTATTATCTATATTCGTAAATAGCTTTAACTGTAAGATAAGTCCCGTAAGGAGTAACCCGCCGAGAAATAGAAGTGTTATAGTTCCCGTTTAAATGTCGATATTAGCAGCTCTGAGTCGTACTTGGAACGTATTTGGTGCTTTCCGTTCCTGGAATGTTCTACAGAACGCCAGGAGACCTTTGGTGCGTGGTGGTCGCTCTCGGATGTTGTGGTAATTCGTGATAGAGGTTTATCAATCAAATTCACGAATCAGGAGACCGGAGCCAGTAGAGAAAGACGCTTATCAGAGTCAAACCTTTCGTCCATCGTTCTTTAAAGACGTGGTTCTGACCACACATGAGAGCAGCGGACCTGATAAATGTGGTAATGTCCCGGGTCAAAATTCGGAGGAAGAGGCTATCATGTGGAATATCAAGGCCGCAGCGTATCTTCTGAGTGACTTCTGGCCCCCAGTGGTTGGGGATATCCATGTCCTCATCCTTCAGCTCCGAAGACGGCCCATCCCGCACGTCTTCAGGATCCGGTAAGTGATATTATGGATAACCGTCTGATTATTTGTGGTGCTCCGGTTTGTCGGGTAATTCTTCCGTTCCCAGAAGGCCGGATAACTGAGACTGCCTTAGGTCTGTTAGGTTTGGGTTGTATCTCTGCGACGTAGGTACTCCATCGGCGCTTCGGTTGCCCAAGGTTCCAACGGCTACCTCGGGGTCAAGTAATGCGCTTTGTAAGACCGGCGACAAATGGTGTGTAGCCTCTCCTGGCAGTCTTCGATTGGCATGGACACCGCGTTGTTGCGTAGCTCGGGGCAACGATATGATGGCGTAGAGCCCCAGGCGGGCAACTTACTCCTAGTGGCCCGTAGGACGCCTGGTACTACACAGAGACAGTGGTAGTAAATGATGTGCAATGGGTGGCGATAGAAAAAGAGTTGAATTCTAGTTAGTATAGTAAGGAAGAAGCCCAAAATGAGCAAAGCGAAAGACATACAGGAAAGTGAAGGCCAAGTGCCCATTGTGCAATGCCGCAAACGACAATTGGCCAAGGTTGAGCTTGTAATATCGGTAAGTATGTGGACAATTCTCGGGTCGTAAGATAGCCGTAGACTGGAAGGACAGGTCGTGGGAGCGGTTGGTGTTGTATGGTTTACGTTGAATTACTGACAGTCCATTTTCGGTGCGAGCTTCTTAACGTTGGCCGCATTACACCACTTGATCACTAAACCTTGGATGGGTCCATTGGAGTAATGGGTTGGCTGATCAACGTTGAATCAACCTGATTGCGCAAGTCTTGCCGTCTGATTACTGCTGCCCAGCTGACCCGAGGGCGGCGGGGGAGCGGCTGTAGGTAGGCGAGTTGCTGTCTCGGCATATAAGGCTGCTAGTTCCGTATTCCCAACCCCCCAGCTTCAAAGACTTATTAGTAGCCATCGTATATTTTGTGTCCTATTCGCAGACAATATTATTACAGGCGCATATTGGCCAACGCCACATTATACCTAACTTGTTAGACAGACATGAGGTTAACTACTAAACGTACTGAACTACCGCAACCTCCAAGATATAATTTAAATATGCTCGGTCCTCCCCACGAATATTTCTATAACGATAGGATGCAGATAAAAGAATGCTATCGTTTCGTATTGGCATCAGTATCGTGCATTATCTATAAGATCGGGATGCCATTGCGTCTGGGTTGCAAAGGGGGCGATGCTCTATCGTATTTCGCACCTGGTTGTCATTACGCACGTTGCTGCTCCGCCCCCCCTTTTCTGAAAAAAAGGCCCTGTCAGTGATGACTCAAGTCTAGAATGTTCCCTCTTCTATCATGCAGCGCCGGGTCCTTCTAATGGTGTAAGCCAGCCTGGTATCTTTACGAAACGAAATTTCCCGTGTTCAACTCGTGGCGTGTAAGCAGTTCTTGCCATTTAAGAGTTAGGCAGTGGTTAAAAGATGTCGGCATCCCCGCCGTCCCACTCGGGGTCCGATTCGTCGGGAGAGTCGAGGAAGTCCTCCATGCCGTAATGTCTCTCCGTCGGTCTGTGGTTGTCGACGTGGATATCTACGACATCGCATAAGCCGTGGATAAATTTGTCATCGTGCGCCTGGTTCTTTGAAATTTTCTTGATCTTCCGATCCCGTCGGCTCCGATCAGAGTGATCGGCTGTCAGCTCATCCTCGCTCTCTTCGTCACCTCCGTGATGTTCCTTGAGGAGCATCCCGCTCCCCCTGAGTCCCCTGAGCTCTCGACTGACAGCCGAGATCCTTACCATTTCGCTCTTGGTAAGATACGACGTTTCACGCTCCGAGGACGTCGGCGTTGGAGGCAGCTCGGAGATGCGTGTGCTTCGTCGCCTTGGTAATATTGTGGATCTCGGCCCCCCATGCTTTTGCGCCTGCTTACCTTCACCGGTCCCCTGAGCTTCACGGGCAATTTTAGCGGACGGCAGACGGAGGGTCTTAAAGTCACACGGTGGCTTTGCCCTCCTCTTAAAAACTCGAACCAGTCTATCAACCCAGAACTCTCGGAGCTCTCGGCGCTGACGCCAGCTTATGTCCAGTGCGATCCTGAAGGCGAGCCGGCGAAGGTGGCAGAGGCTCGGCGCACTCTCTGCTAAACTCTCAAAAAACATCTCCGCTGCTTTTCGGCCCCACTTTCGCATGTGGAGGATTTCGATAGACTGCATCGAAGACGGCCATGTCGGTACTTCGTGTTCCAAGAGGAGTTGATCGTATTCGGGTTTGTTGTCGGCATAGTGCTCGTGATGTCGGAAATAGGAGAGATCCATATAGAGATGGGCGAGGTTTGGACAAGCCGACCCTAGGATCGGGAGAAAGCCTAGACTCAAGGATTGGCAGTGATTCAGGGTGAGAGCTTCCAGAGAGTGGCCGCGAGTGGCCAGGAATACCCCAAAATCCGTAGCCGTAATCTCCCAACAGTTGATGAGCTCGAGGTGCCTCAGCGTCGTCGGGAGTAGACTTAGTAAGGAGCCATTAGCTAAGGTACAGGACTCTAAGACGAGGTGCTTCAGGTTTGGCAAGGCTGATATGCAGCTGGAGAGTTGAGAGATCCTCCGCTGACTGCGTTCCTGTATTTGCTCGTTAAGTTGTTGTCTCTGTGGTAGACCCCAAGATGCAAGCTGATAATTAACGAAGGCCACCTTTCGGAGACCGGCGAAGATCGGGTTCTGGTGGGCCGTATGGAGCTTGTCTAAAGATAGGGAGTCGGGAGTGAGACGAGAATTCCAACGCCAAGTGCTCAAATTTGTAGGCATGGCTGCCATCTCATCCCCCACCCCGTCACCCGCCGTACGTGACAGCATCAATGTTTCCATTAGCTCGTTCACTGCGGGTACGAATCGAATACGCTCATCGAGCCGTCGATAGGGTGGTTCGTCCAGTTCATGATACAACTCCAGCTGGCAGAGATTTGGAAGACTCCGTATTAGAGGCTGGAGATTCATGTAGCTTCCGTTGTACTTTCTGGCCAAAGTCGAGGCTACTTCCAATCGCAAGATCTTAACCTTCGGGTGGTAATTGATCGCGGTCGTAGCCGAGGGCAAGGCCAAGGTCTCGAGGAATTGGCCGAGGCAAGTTTGGGGAGCTTTGGTGTAGCACCACTGTCGGTCGAAAGGGGGGCATTTGTATAGGCCTGCCAATGCGGGTTCGGCGAAAGCCCGGCATGTTCGACTTGCGGACATCAATGTTCCGACCGCCTGCGCTATGTCTTCGCGCCGCGACGATGGATCGCGGATTGCGGCGGCAGCGGAGTCAAAAATATTCTGGAGGACGTGGTACGGCAGTGTCTGCCAAGGAGGATAGACCAAGCGCGCACGCGAGGTTGCAGGAGCGGGCTCGGCTGAGTTTGGTGTGCTGGGCATGACGTTCTTGGGAGATGTTTTTGAGACGGCACTACGAGTCCGGCGGGTGGCCCGTTTCTTTGGCGTCGAAAGATGGCAGTTATTGCGGGCCTTGCGCTTCTGGGGCGGTAACGAATTACGTGCGCGAGGACTAGGAGTGTCGGAGTCATCGCCATCGTCAAATTCATCGTCCGGTGACGACGACAGAGAAGTAAAGTAGGCGGCGGTAGACCGCGTCTCTCTGACCGGTCTCTTCAACTTGGCGACCCGAGACGGGTTGCTTCGTAAGGCTCGTCGAGGGCGATCCATTGTTAGATGGGAGGGCGGCAATTCGATCGCGAAAGCGGCATAGACAATCGAGGCGCCACGCTGGCGAAGGGAGGCGGGCAAGTTTGCATGAACAGCAGCTTCGGGGAGAAGACGGTCGGAGGGGTTGTTGGGAGGGAGAGATGATTGGGCGGGTAAGAGGACGAGCCAGGCCGGAGGAAGATATCGTAGGCTGGCGGGATCGGGGGAGCCAGGAAGGTCGGGTATGTGTAGGAGGTAGGTAGACACGTTTGGCGGTGGTGTGTGTTGTGTGTGTGTGGTGTTCGATGTGCACAATTCACTGACGCATCTGCGGACGGCGCGAGGGCGATGCGGGTCCACTTAATAAGGTTTGGCTGACGATTTCCATTGAAGGATCGGATCTGCGCTGAGTACCTCCGTCCTGATGCACCGCGCCAAGGTACCTGAGGGAAACCTCCAGCCATACCTGCACTACGACGTAGCTTCTGGTAACGGGCAAGTAGTTTAGGAGACAGGTTAGAAGGTATCTAGGTAGGTACCTACCTACAGGTAGTGGTACATTAGGCTCACAGTTTACCTACTCCGGTACCTCCTCAAACACGACCGAAATCGTAAATCGATGAAAACAACATCGTTTCCTTAGCATGTACCCAGGAACCTCGTTTTCTGGGCCATGGACGCGTCCCGGCAACGTACCATATACCTACGCAGGCAGGTAGGCGGGTGCCGGCATCTGGTTGAGACCTCCGGGGGGACATGTCCGGTTGGTACGCTGGGTAGGTACCTGTAGGTACCTAGGTAGATAGGCAGGTACCTGGGCTGGGCACGTACCTAACGGGTTCCTGTCGCACCACATGAACCTGGCGTATGGGCGAAGTGCGCCCCGTCGCCAGTTGTAAATACCGCCCATTCTGCGAGAACTGCTGCAGGCATGCATTGCATGTAGGGACCTCTTACATACAAGGCAAGTGGCTGCATTGCGTGTAGGCAGATCGGAGGCCTATAAGGACCCAGCTACCTACCTACCTACCTACCTACCTACCTACCTAGGTAGACTGGAACACGTCGCCCTCTCACCCCCAAGATCAACTTCGGCACGTAAACCGGAAGTTTCGGCGTGGATGCTCGCCGATTAGCAATGGCTCCTCTCTGGTTATCAGCAAGCGGCCGACGAGACGGTGGCTGTGGATTGGGGTTTTGGGCCCGACTACGGACTTGCGGACTAGTACTCTCTCGGGGCTGGCTGGAACTGCCGGTCGCCCACGGCTCCTCTTTGAACCCGCGGGCTCATATAGCGTCCTGCGAGACAGAACTCGCTCGCCCGACGCGTTGCCGTCATTCTTTCTCTGGCTCGATTGGGGAGGTAGTTAGAATGACATATATACCTAGAACGGGATTGTCTATAGGCCCGAGTTGACGAAAGAGCCAGGAAGAGGGAACGAGAACTTCCGGGAATGATATGGTAGGTAGGTATACATTAGGTGTCTAACTTTATTACATTAGGTAGGCAGGTACCTATAGTTATGTGTCTCCCTCAAGTGCGACGAACCCACGGCGTCATTTGCGACGCCCCGTGGGTTGTTCGTCGTAGGCGTGTTCACGTCAACTCAATGTGGCTTTCGCCGATTGCTATCGCCCTGCCTCCTGGCCGTAGAGCCCCACAGGCCTTTCCCCTCCATTCTCCTCTGCGGTGGCCAGTCAAACGTTCCCCTTTTCAGATCGATCTTCCTATTCAAGCATTTCTCTTCTCGCCATACCCTGTTCGCTGTCGCTTGCTCCTCGAAACACACCTGCATGGACCCGAAGAACAACGCCACCTAGAAGCTGGGAGTGCGACCCTCTTCGGGTGCCCGGGATAGCTCCAGCGTCCCGCGCTAACAACCTAGTTTCCAAGTTAGCCTTTGCAGAGCTGGTTACTCGTAGACACCGGTAACGGGGGGGTTTTTTTTTTCTAGGGTTCGCGGACGGGTACAAATCGTTAACGTTTAACACCTGTAATGGAGAGATCTGTTTCGAAGTTTGCTGCCCGGCCCCCCTTGTTCAGGGAAAACCGCACGAGAATCTACGTCGCGATGGGGTCAGGTTAGTCCGAAGAGGTAACGCAGACTGGGTTGCGTCGTAGGCAATAAGTCGGTAGTGTGAGTATGGGCGACCTGGGCCACCTTGGGTGACCGACCGGGGCCACCGCGTGAAATTGAACGAGCCGATGTGGGCCAACCAGAGCCAGTCCAGGTACGCGGACCAGGTACCTGTCCACGTCCAGCGCTTGTTGAGATACTCGGGGTACTTCGCTGTGCCCAGGCCGCCCCGAGCGGTGGCCGAATAGGGAGGTAACACAGTGGGAACCCCCACAGACAATCTGTGGCTGGTAACGTCCGCACGCCAGCCGTCAGCCACACGAGAGAGAATGCGACCGTAGCCACGGCCCTTCTCACACCCCCTGGCTCTTCTTCCTCGCTCCAAAGTCCGCCTAAGATACATTAGTTGGGAACGCGTCGACCGCCGGCTTCTTCCACTTTTCACGCATCGCATCGCGGACATCTCAGCTGCATCACATGTCCTCCCATCCCGCCCTTATACCCGTCCTCTCTTCTCTACTCACGACCGCTGTCACGATTTCATGCACCTTTCTTCCCCACGGCTGCCGCCGCCCAATTCCCTACTCTTGCGTGTAAACAAATCTTATTCCCCTCGGACGCTTTTCTTGAAGAAAGCATTTCCCTTCTCACAACTCCCGTCTCTAGTCCTTACTTCTCTTCCTCGTTGCAGCTTCGTACTGCACTTCTTCTTCTCCTTTTTCCTCTTCTCCTCCTCCCCTCGGTTGTCGTATCTGGCGCCTCGCGTTTCAAGATAATGCTGGAGAAATCCCCCTAACTTCCAATTGGTTGCGCGGGGACGGTGGTGCATCTCGCATCGCCGGGCTACTTTCACACAATCCTCTCTTTTTCCTCTGAAGCAGAAGGCCGCGACACCGTGGCGAGCTGCGCCCATGTCCCCCTTCAGATATGGCAACCATCACCCCGTACAAACGCGACTTACCTTTTATTCACCGTGCCTGGAAGACGGCCGTCGATCACTTGTCCCCATACAGCATGGGCATCAAGTTGTCGTCGGCAAACGGTGACAATGTCGTCAACGGCGACCACGTCCCTCGTGCTATCAAAAGGCGTCGCATAACTGACTCGCCAGAGTCGGCCCCGAACGGCGCCGTAGGTCGCTTGCTGCCGGAGAATCCTGATGATTTCGAGAAGGCCCTTCGGGTCCACATTCTCCAGATCATCCACAAGGATAGCTCTAGAGCCACGAGCCTGTCCAACGAGACGGGGTCGCCTAGCATCAAGGAGATTCCCGCGATTCGGGTCCGCTGCAAGCTTAGCATTTTCCGATGGAGAGCGAACAAGGAAATCCGCGTTCTCCATTGCGACAGTCAAGTCTGCAGCCTCAGAGTCATCCGAGACGTCGATGAGACGGGTAGCCGAGCCAGGATTGACCTGAACTCGCCGTTCCACATCCCCGCGGAAAACATCTATGTCGAGCGGGACGACGAGCGCGGCTTTTCCTTGGACGACCACTACTTGGTCCAGGCCGAGTTGGAATCGGCTGGTGATCCCAACTGGCCGCCGGCCGACCTCCTGCCCAAGGAAATCGCCAGTGACATCCTCTCAAGCCGGCCGCAGCACTGGGTTTTTTCCTCGCAGTTCGTCTACCGGCTTAAGAAACATCGGACCGGCGTCCCGATAAAAATCAGGAAACGGGTCGGTGAGGAGACGCCGCTCGATCTGCTGATGGACATGGATTTGAGGTGGTCGACGGGCCATGCGGCAGGATGTGTCCCTGAAATAGAGACCGTTCCGCCGGATGTCAAACCAACAGATACGAACGGAACTTTGGAGCCACTGACAAACGAGAGCATCAATGGAAGGATGGAGAGCGCCCCGAACGGCGCCCCGAGAGATGACCAGGACACGCTGATGGACGAGGATGAGGACCATGAAGAGGCGGCTACTCCGAGTCGTCTGTTGAGAACGAGGGAGAAGCAGAACTATAATCTAAAGCTGCTAAGTGATAAAGCCCGCGGTAAGGAGCGCAAGGAGCGCAAACAGCGTAAGTTGGCAGATTCCAGAGGCCAATCTGGGCAAGTTACTTGGATTCCCCCCAACACTGGGGATGTCGTATTGAGAAATTATCAATGCATTAGATGCTATGCCCTCCACTCGTCCATCAGCCAGCTAGTATCACACATCAAGGTTCACCCTGAGTTCAAGTTTGATGTTGATGCAAACACCTCCCGTATCTGGATCATCCCCCATGACCAGGAAACCCCTCGCCGGTCAGGGTCGTCTTTGCTCGAGACGCCGAGCTCGGGGGAGGAGGATAGCGATCTAGGGGATAGTGTATTCCCCCAGAACGCCCAAAGAACACTGACGAGACCCAAGTCTTCGCAGGTGAGCCGGGAAAGACCAGCCGTTCAAAATGATAAGCTCATGCTAATTCGTCGCAATAGCCATCATTCTCGAGCAAGCCGAGAGACACTAGGCAGCTGGTTCCCAACATCAAGCAGCCTATGTATGATCGGCTCAGCAAGGCGCTGCTCGAGCCCGGCTCGTTCGTAGACCCGCCGGATATCGACGATACTTGGCTGGTACAAAAGCACAGAGATATCATTCGCGACTACAGCGACGTCCACCAGGACGAGAAAGAGTATATCTCGGAATGGGACGCCTATGTGAACAAGGAATGCGTCACCTCGGAGCCTCACTTGCAAGACGTCTATCTCAAATTCGTCCAGGTTAAAGCATCGTGGTTGCTTGGGTCTACAAGCCGCATGACCGAGTTCTCAAAGCATTTAAGCTACCTCAAGGCGAGAAACGCGCTAGCCGACTCGACAATTTCCGAGGCCCTCGCAACCTTGCGACAGGCGAGGTTGATAAAACGTCCAGAGCAACCCGAAGCTACAAAACCACCATCTCCGAGGACCGAGTACCGCAAGTCGTCTTCCGGATGTGCCGTCTGCGGTCAACCGATCCGAGGGCCGTTGACCTTAATCTGTGCAAACCTGGTCAGTTTCGCTCGCTTCCACGCTCCTCTTCGATAGTTTCCGGGCATCATATGACTAACGGCAGGTAGGACTGCGATAAGCCACTCTACCACGTCGAGTGCGTTCGTGAGGAGGCCAAGGTACCAGTACAGAATCGCAAGTGGCGCTGCAATAGCTGTTGCTGCACCTAAGCCTAACGCCAGGACAAATATTGTGACGAGTCCAACCTACATCGGCCAGTGCTCAGAATCGGGTGACGCAGCACGATCGATTCAAGCATTGATGTATAGGAAACGGAGACAGGACTTATAAATGGTAATCATTACGAGGCCCAGCTCGCCGGTAACCCTAACTTGTTAGCAGCGGACTCCGAAGGCACTTGCAAACCTCTCTAAGCTCTTAGCATTCTTGGAGCGCTCTCCTGCAAAGGTTCACGGAGCACCTCACAACACATTGCGTAATGGACACATCAACATGGAATGAATAAAAATATCGAAGATTCCCATGATCTCCTGCCTGACCTTTTTATGCCCAAGCTCGTAAAATAAGCACCCGCCAATCCCGCAGTCAACTGACACGGCCGGTCACATGGCAGTGATGATTGTCTCAATATAACCTCTATTTTCCCGAACGAAATGTATACCCTCTAAACGCATTTATATTTCTATCATAATCTCTCATGATTGACAGTATTCCTTGAACGCGGGCAGCAGTCTATACAATTCCTGAACTGTGGCTGAGACCGACCTGGGTTCTCTAACGCCACTTTGTTCGGGTCTCGTCCTTTCTCGAGACGACAATCCGGCCGATACTTAAATCTACCTCTGGACTTTCCCCTTCGAATAATGCCACCAGTTCCACACGGCATCCCTTGCACCGTGCCAAGAAGTATTCTCTCCTGTGCCTTCTCTAGCATCCTGACTGATGTTCTACCACAGCACGAACGAAGCTTACACTTTAAGCTATCGGGCCGGTTCTGGGGTGAGAACCGTGTGGCCGAAGTGGAACTGTTCGGCCCAGAACTCATCACACGGAAACACGAACGGTGGGTAGTATACAGCATACTGATGTTTCGTTGTAGTTAATTAGGTAGCCATGGACCCAAATATAGGGCGGTCACTAGTTGAAGGCTCGAACAGGAAAGTAAACCTTCACAGTGAGATATGTCAGCACGTTCCTTGAATAGCAAGGTATAAAAAGACTATGAAATGAGATACCTCTAGTTGAGGCACGTGTTAGATAACAGGACCCCTTTGGATCTATATATTTAAACTGCATAGGAAGACTCGATGTGGACAACCTTCGGGCACTTGCGGCCTCATACCCATGTTGACTGAAGGGTAGGTAATGTCTCTTTAGACCTTCTCCCGACGCGGGCGCACTCAGATGGAAATATCGTACCTACATGGAAAAAAAAATTGTTACTTTGGCTCGGTAATAGGTATTATGCGTCAAGGAAATCTAACTATTCTACTCCACGAGGGGCGTCCCCACAAACCCCGAGCTGGTAGTTATTCCATCTCCAGACTGACACGACATTTCCTGCAGAACCTACTAATTTATAGATAACTACATAATAAGGGGTATCAGGTGCGAATCTCACGAGGCGCCAGGAATGTGTCTCTAGATGCTTTTTACTTGACGATTCCTGCATACATAGCCGAGTCATCACATGACATCTCATTCATGGGAATTAATTAAACACCGGCTATTCCAGGTGACATCCCGTCTCTCCCTTACTGTTAGCCGATCCCGGACTCTCAAATCTCCCTCATTTAGGCAATGATCAGGCTCACCTGGCCCGAATGCCCCCTCTCCTCCCCACTGCTTAAAGAGGAAACAGGCAACGCTTCTATGCCCAAATCCCGCCGAGCAGACGGGCGTCACAAGCAGGGTGTAAGACTGAGAGGGACAGAGACGGGGGGCATGTTATTGAACATGCTGTTAGATGCAGACACACAACCGCTCGTGTGTAGGTTTGTATGTACCCCGCATCCAGCCATGGGATGACCGTGTCGTCGACCCAATCATGATAGCAGCAAGGGTTGCACGATAGTGACCGGCTGCAGGCATCATGCGGGTGTATGTTGTATCTCGGCTGCCCGTCTCTCAGGAGGCGGGATGGTGCATGGGAAATGTATAAAGGGGCGGGGAGTTATCGCGACGCTGTGGGGGGATGGAGGGAGGGGGAGGGAGTATTCGTCCGCCGAGAGTAGCCAGCATCCAGCTTATCGTCAGAGAGCGAAGCTCAACGTTCCGTGGCCTAACACGGACTGAACAAAGGGAGTCTCGCAAGTCGCAGGCCGAGTCTAACCCAATCCCGGGGTAAGCCAAATCCCTCTCTAGAGCACAAAGAGCATGCGCCCTCCTCCGGGATCTCCCAGAAACCCGAGCTCATCGTGGAAAGCAGAATGGCGCAGGTTCCCGAACGCAGCGGGCCGCCGCCTGGACGGGGGGGCGACGATGGAAGAGAAATAATAGCCCCAGCGCAGACGCAGCACGAGAACACGAGGGAGAGCGAGGGACACAACGCCGAGAAATGGCCGGGCGGGAGCGACGCTGAGGGCGGTGGACAGTACGCGCAGGTGGACCCGGCTATCGCCAGCCGCATCGCGGCGAACGTGGACGACTTTATGGTGAGCGCGCTATGCTATGTGTTCTCCAACCCCCCTCCTTGCACTTGGAGAGCAGCTCGGCAGTAGGGGGGGCGGACAGGGCGGCAAGGAATGCGGGCTAAACCCGCGTGCGTGCGATCCCAGACGCTCGTCAACGAGGCCAACGAGGCCAACGATAGGGAGCGCGGCATGGCGCTGTCCCACGCCTTCAAGGTGTATCCCAAGGCCATCGCCTGGTCCATGATCCTGTCCTCCTGCCTCATCATGGAGGGATTCGGGACGTCGATCGTCGGCTCCTGTACGTGTCCCCCTCCGCCTTTACTTGCCTTGTTCAGCACCCCGTATCGTTCGACGCCCGTGCGTGTGCGTGTGAAGGGTTGATTAGTGCAAGCTTACGGTTCTTCCTGGTAGACGTGTCTTATCCCCCTTTCCGCGACCGGTTCGGCACCCTAGCCCCCAACGGCGAATACCAGATCCCCGCGGACTGGCAGAACGGCATCGCCGGCGCGACGAACGTCGGTGAAATCATCGGTCTGCAGGTGTGTACCATCCCCTATACCCCTCTCCCCCGGGCCTTCTTCCTTCCTAGATAGCGTTGGGCGAGTCTGGTTGCCAACAAGAAGCGCGCTAGATCGCCGGCGTCATGTCCGAACGCTGGGGGTATCGGTGGACCCTCCTGGCCGCGCTGGTGGGCGTGTCCGGCTTCGTCTTCTTCCCCTTCTTCGCGGAGAGCCTCACCGTGTTCCTCGTCGGCGAGCTGTTCCAGGGCATGGCCTGGGGCATTTTCCAGACCATGACCGTGGCCTACGCCGCCGAGGTCTGCCCCGTGCCCCTGCGCCACTACCTCACCAGCTACGTGAACCTCTGCTGGATCATCGGGCAGTTCATTTCCGCCGGCGTGCTCGCCGGTCTGAACACGCGAATGGACGAGTGGGGGTGAGTTTGCATATATTCCTAATCTGTGGGCGCCGCTCCGTTCTAAAGGAAGCACCGTTTGCCTAGATACAAGATCCCGTTCGCCCTGCAATGGATCTGGCCGATCCCTATCGCCATCGGCACGTATCTCGCGCCAGAGTCTCCTTGGTGGTGCGTCCGGCACGACAAGAAAGAGGAGGCCCAAACTTCCTTGAAGCGACTGGCTAGAAGCTCGGGGTTCTCGCAGCGGGAAGCAGACGCCGCCATGGCATGTAAGTCCTAACGGCATCAGCCATTGGAAACGAGGCAGCGTGATCAAGTAAAAAAATTAACAAATGCGTCGTAGTGATGGTGTACACGGACGAAATGGAGAAGCAGGTCTCCGAGGGGACGAAGTACTGGGATTGCTTGCGCGGTATCGACCTCCGGCGCACCGAGATCGTCTGCTGCACCTGGCTCGCGCAGGCCATGTCCGGTACGGCGATCGGCGGCCTCTCGGCCTACTTCTACCAGCAGGCGGGCATTTCGGACTCGAACTCGTTCAAGCTCGGGTGGGGCCAGAGCGGGCTCAACGCCGTCGGGACCATCGCCAGCTGGTTCATCCTCAACTTGGTCGGGCGGAAGACGCTGATGCTGGGCGGCATGATGGTCATGTTCGTCCTTCTCATGTGAGTAGCACGGCGAGCGGGCTCGCCCGCCCGCCTCCCACTTCCATTCCCACCTGCAAAGGCCGCGCACGCACGCACGTTGAGCCGGTGCTGACCAAGCCGGCCCCCCCCCCCCCCCGCGCAGCATCACGGGCTTCATGGGGATCCGCGAGACGCCGAGCACAGCGGAAGCGTGGACGGCGGGCACGATGGTGCTGCTGCTGAGCGCGACGGCCAACTTCTCGGTCGCCCCCGTCGTCTACACCATCGTCTCCGAGGTCCCGTCGACCCGCCTCCGCTCCAAGTCCATCATCCTCGCCCGCAACGCCTACAACGCCATCAACATCGCCTTCGTCAACGTCGTCTCCTACCGCCAGCTCAACCCTGCCGAGTGGAACTGGGGCGCCAAGGCCGCCTTCTTCTGGGCCGGCACCAACGCCATCTTCACCGCCTGGGTCTACTTCCGGATGCGTGCGTAACCCTTATCCCCCCTCCCCCCCCCCCCCCTTTTTTTTTTTCTCGTTGCTGTCTGTCGTATCTACAGACGCTTTCTGCGTAGATGGGCCCGCTAACATCAGCGCGATATCCCCCCGTTCTAGCCGAGACCAAGGGCCGCACGTACACCGAGCTCGACATCCTATTCGAGAACCGGGTCGCCGCCCGCAAGTTCGCGCGCACCAAGATCCAGACCCTGGTCGAGGGCACCGAGGGTGCGCAGAAGGAGCAGGGAGGCCGCGCTGCTAGCAACACCGCGGAAGCGGCCCGCTAGGGCCTCTGCTCGCCAGGCGGGAAGCGATGGGCGTGGACGAATAAGGCTTGGCTAATGAAGGTGATGATGAAAGACGGTTGCGGCTCGTGCTTGTTGCCCTGGAGCTGTATTTAGTAGGGAAAAACACGCACAAACAAGCTGAGGAAAACAGAGCCGGTAGTTATTAGAAGAAAGCGAATTTCGCGAGTGCCACATATTGGACCTGTAGTCTAGACCTCGATCCCAGATGATAGTACCGATATTGATGGAATGGACACCCAAATGATGGATGCTTGCAAACTTGGCCGCCCCTCTCTCGCCTTCTATACATTAATTAAGTACACGGTGACGCACCTGTTCCCAGCCTCTGACGGCGGATCGTCCGCCTAGAACCTATACTTGCTGCCCTTCTTCTTGTCGTCCTTCTTCTCCTCGTCGCGCTTCAGCCTCTTGCGGCTCTCGTTCGCGATCATCTCGTCGAGACCCTCTTCGCGCCTCCAGTTGGCCCCTATGCCCTCCTCGCGCCGCCCTTCCTCGAACTTCCTGCGCATCTCGTCCTTGCTGATGCCGTCCACCAGCGCGTCCGGGTCGAACGACACGTCCACGTCGCCGGGCTTCTTGCGCTTCCGGCCGCTGTCGTCGTCTTGGCCGAGCACACGCATGTCCCCGCCCGCGTTCTTCAGGTCGTACACGCGGTCGCTGCCGAAGAAGCCCTCCGCTCGCGACTGCTTCTCTTGGACCACTGTGTACGCTGACCGGGGGTGCGTGCTATCTTCTGTCTCGTAACCGCGGCGTGATTTTCGTAGGTCCAGCTCGCCCGCCACCGACTCGGTAGTGGTGCCATACTCTGTTGGTACGCTACTAGCCAGCCCACCGGGCGTTTCCAACCCAGATGGAGTCTGCAGGCCGGCGCCCATATCGGACTCCTCTTCTTCTTCTTCCTCTTCCGATTCTTCTTCCTCTTCCTCGGACTCTTCTTCAGGCTCCTGCAGTTCGCCCCACAACGTGCGCTCGACCGGCTCACCCGGTGGGGGAGCTGCTTGCGACGGTTGCATGATACCAAAGATATCTCCACCGTATAACGGCCGGTTGTATTCGTCAACGGGAGGCTTGCCGTAGCACCCCGGGTTAAAGCCCCACTGGGCTCCCGCAGGGATGGGTGCGTTGAGTCCGGGAATGCGAAGGGAAGGATAAGAAGGTGGGGGGCCAAATCTTTGTTGGTTGATGAGCCACGGCGGCGGAGCGCCCGGAGGTATGCTCAATGCCTCCTTGAGAATATCGCTTAGCTCTCCAGGACGTAGGTGCCGTAAATCTGTTTCGTATTCTTTGCCTTCATAATAGACCTCGCCAAAGCGCGTCAGTGACGGCTTGCTCTGAAATCTGAAAAAGGCATCGTAGAGCTTTTGGTAGTCGATATCCAGCTTGCCTATCTTTGGCTGCACCCTTTCGCGCTGCTTCTGCTTTAGAGTCTGCTCCGCCTGCTTTTCCAGCACGGCGTCTCTCATTTCGGTAATGCCGGTGTCCGCAATGAACTTGGGTAGCTTGAATGCGGCCTTCTCAATACCTCGCTTGGACGAAAGATACTCGCGTTTTAATGACCAGTGCGAAGGCACCGGGACCACGTTTCGTTGCGCCTTAATCTGCACCAGTAGCCGAGGGTCTGACGACGATGTATCGTGCCATTCCACGACTTCGGGCTTCTTCACCAAAGCCTTTAGCTCCGCGATTGACAGTTTGTTCAGCATCTTGCGCTTTTTCTTGGATAGTTTTGGTTGCGTGCCACCCTCCTCTTCTTCGTCGGGTATATCGGCGTCCTCATCAAAGTATACCTCACCCTGGTTGCCAGCGTTTGCTTCTTTCGCAATGTCGTCTTCTTCTCTAGATGCGCCAAACTTGGTGAAGATATCCTTGTACATAGAGTAGGTAGGGTCCTCGTTATCGAAATCGAACTCTTCGACGGGCCCATCGGCGGGGATCTTGTCGGGCGAGGCTAAATCCTTCTTGACGTCAAGCTCTACCGCAGCGTCGCCATTGGATACTTCTTTGGCCGACTCCGGCTCACCATCCTCGCTTGGCTCAGCCTGGGGCGTATCTTCGGCTTTGGACGGCTCCTGGATGATATTTACATTGGCACTCGATTCCGGCGCCGACTGGGGACATTTCCAACGTACCTCGGTCTTGGTCTGCTTGTCCGCCTTCTTCTTTGCGCGCCGCTTCTGGTTCTTGCTCAACTTGGGAGCCGCCATCTTGTCGATTTGCTCGGAAGAGCGCGCGTCTATCGCTCGAACCCGATGCGTCGATGCGACAACTTCAGGCACGGAGGCCCTTTCCGCTCTCGTATAGAAGCGTCAGTAAGAAGCGCAGGGAACTCGAAGAGCGGCCGGAACTAAATCGCGGATGTAGGGGGCTAGGCGTAGGAAGGGGAACGATCAACAACGGTTCGATGACGAAAGATCAAAAGCGAGGTTTCCAAGATGTGTCGCTAAGGCTGACGTGAATTCCCACACGCGACTCCAGAAGGAGAAAAGAGCTAGTAGCAGTGAAGGCTCTAGTGCTACCCTACGGACTTTTGTTGTTACTTAAGCATTTACCAGCCGCATAGGACCCCACGCCACCAAGGAGGCGCCTGTGGCGTATGTCTCCGCCATGCTATGGTACCTGTAGGTACCTATGTACAGTGGCAGCCACTGAATTCCTTGTTTGGAGTGGGTGGAGTAGAAGGTTAGGTACCTCTCTGGGCAGGTATGAGTGTAACTATCGATAGAGGAGGTACATGTCTGCAGTGTGCCCGTAAACTATCTTGCAGGTACCAATCTTAGGTAACCTCTTAAAGGGGTGGTATTCGGTGGCGGGATTCCCTACCAGCGCCAGCTTACGTAGATGTACCTGTACCTATCTAGGTACATACTGTGGGCAGAGATTCCCCCAATGCCTCTCGATCGCGTCAGCCAGTCAATTCCACAGGGGTCACCACGCGGCAGAACTCACTTGCTTGCCTGTGCGCCGAACTTGCTGAACTACCCGTTGTGCGGTCGACGGCCTCTTATCTACTTTTTCGTATTCCTCCTTTATGGATGAATCAATCTGCACTGTCCCCCCGATCTGATTGTCAATCCGCAACTGCCGGTCAGCCGACTTCGGGTCCTCTTCCAACTCCGTGTCCGTTCGAACCAACCCTCGAGAAACGTCGCCTCTCTCGCCTCGTCAACTTCCGTAGCGATGGTCTTATGAAACCCCCCTACCTCCCCCTTTCTCGAGTATATGCGCGTTGCTACTTTGTCGCTCGTTATCCCACCCGTACCAACTCGCACCGCGGACTCGATAAACGACGATGCCCCATTCTACGAGCTCCGGCTCCTACCCCAGAGATTCCTCCGTCCCGCGGCCCGGCTCCAAGCACCCGGGAGAGCGTGATGGCGACCCTAGCTCCGGCTTGGAGAAGTTCCCGGATCACGTCGACTCGCCGTCAATGCGCGCTAATGGCTCGAGGTCTATAAGTCCGGCTGGATTGAACGCATATGGTGTGGGATTGAGCGGAGGACCTCAGCTGAACGGAGATCGCTGGCAGCCGCGCAGGGACCTGTCCGAGTCCAGAGGAGTGCGCTGGGGATCTCCCTTGGGCCCCTCTGCCGGTCTCGCTCGAGGCCATGGGCAGCAGAAGAGCATTAGCGAAGCTTTCCGCACTATCAGAGGCAGGAACAGCAGCGTGAGCCAGAATGCCCACGAAATAGCGGATGCGCTGCGGGCGCCGATATCTCCCAAGCTCGTTGTATGTCGATCTACATCGCGACCATCTTCCCACCGTGTGCTGACGTGGCCCACGTCGTCTAGATCCTCTGTATAATGTGGTATATGTCTTCTGCCTTGACCAATACCTCTTCCAAGTCCATACTAAACGCCTTCCCCAAACCTGCCACCTTAACCCTGATCCAATTCTTCCTGGTCGCCTTCTACTGTATAACGTCGTCGTGGCTCGCAACTATATTCCCCCGCCTGCGCGACTCGATCCCAGCCCTGAAGAATCCCATTCGTCACCCGTCGAGGGATGTCATCTTGACCACGCTACCCCTAGCCGCATTCCAGATAGGCGGCCATCTGCTCAGCTCCACGGCGACCTCTAAGATCCCGGTTTCTATGGTGCATACTGTAAAGGGGCTCTCGCCGTTATTTACCGTCTTCGCCTACCGGTTCATCTTCGACATACGATACCCAAGAACGACGTATTTTTCGCTGATACCGCTGACTCTCGGAGTCATGCTCGCGTGTTCGTCGAATCACACCTTCAAAGGCGAGATACTCGGCATCGTCTGTGCTCTCCTCGCGACTATCATCTTCGTTACGCAGAACATCTTCTCCAAGAGGCTTTTCAACGAGGCTGCGAAAGCGGAAGCGGACGGGCAAGCAGCCAAGTCTCGAAAGCTCGACAAGCTTAACCTTTTGTGCTATTCGTCGGGCTTGGCCTTCCTGCTTACGTCACCCATTTGGTTCTGGAGTGAAGGAATCGGCCTAATCAAGGATTTCTACCACGATGGTTCGCTGGATATCTCATCACAACCCGACACCTTCGACCACGGGCGATTGGCGCTCGAGTTCCTTTTTAACGGGACCTTTCACTTCGGGCAAAACATCCTAGCTTTCATCTTGCTATCGCTTGTGTCTCCCGTCACGTACTCGGTTGCATCACTCATCAAGCGAGTGTGGGTCATTGTGGTTGCGATCCTCTGGTTTCGCAACCCCACAACTCCGATCCAAGCTGTGGGTATCGCGCTCACTTTCCTCGGTCTATATCTGTACGACCGGACAAACAACAGCAACAAGGCCGATCGCCGCGCACGTATGCTGAGCCAGAGCGCAGGACGAGATCAGCCACTTCTACCACTCACCACCAACCAAGCGACGATGTCCGGCCAGATGCCGCAGGTGTTCGAGAGCCCGATTTCGGTCTCCAACGGATCAACCCCCCATCCGTACACCAATGGATACGCCCCACAACCCAATTCCGGGGTGGACGACTCGAAGAAGAGCGATGACGTAGGCAAGGGCCGACAGCGGGGGAACAGCAACGCAGCCTGGCTTCCCCGGGGCACGAGGCAAGAGGAGACGTGGAGATACGGAGACAGGGTCAAAGCTGCTCCCTAATATATGTAATATTTTGGGCCGTCCGCGGCATGGTATATGGTGGACGAAGGCTTACGATGCATGGACATGGACGAAATACGTAGACGATTTGTTGCTTGGCTACCTTACCACACCCGAAGCCATCGAAGCCATCGCTGCGACCACCTCGTGGGTAGAGCTGAGTTCGTAAGCTGGAGCTGGCAAGGCGTGGAGCGGACCGGAAGTCGGAAAGCGGCCGGTTTAGTAGTGTACAGGCACCCTGACATGTCAACGGGATGCCATTTCGCCAGGGAGTTCGGGGTCATGTACGGGATAATGGATACCACGTTGTTCCGGGTCAGAGGCCCGGGTCAGGTGGCTGGGGGGGGGGGGGGGGGGCAAAATAGATCTAGACTTGGCCGAAGCTACGATACAACCAGCATTCTGCTTATAGAGGACTTTGCGATCTCTCGATCTGTCTGGGCTGATGCCTCTGCTTGTTAGCAAGCGGCAAGGTAGGTGCACCAAAAGGGAGCATGCTGCTAATAGCTAGCTACGCAAGTATGTGCACATTCTACCTCAGCATGCGTTCGATCTGCGGGTGTGGATGTGCGCGGCAGAGGTATGCATCTGTCGCGCATGCGCTTAGCGGGTCAGCCGCCATACAGAGTTCCCGGTCGTGTGGAGATGGCATCGGCTGAGATCGTAAAGTCATGTGACCAGCACGTGCAGTAGCGGATTTTGCGCACAGCACAGCACAGCCGGTGGAGCTTCGTTCCTTCCCTTGGGGCGTGGCCCGGACGAAGTGGCCGCCAGCGCCATTTTTCCCCGACTTGCTTCAAATTATTTCCTCCCCCTCCAAACCCATCACCACCTCCACTCCATCCATTCTCTATCGCTCGGGGCCATCTTTCAAGATGTTCAAGAGGTAAGTTCAATACGTCCGAATCTGCCCTGTCGATCTTCCCCGACGTCAATTGAGGTCAATTGAACTGACAGCTTTTTTTATTTTTTTCCGTCCGATGTAGCGGCCTCTCCTCTTTCGCCAGAGCGGCCCGGCCTACTTTCGCGGCCTCAGCACGGCGCGCAATAAAGCCCGCGGCCCTGCGATACCCCCTCACTAGCCGATTCGCAAGCACATCGGGAGTTGGCGATGGCAAGATTTACCAGGTGAGCCGGGGAGATCGCATGCAGCTAGCTGGCACGGCCCGGTTGGGCTATGGGACGGGAGCTAACAAGCACGTAAATAGGTCATTGGTGCTGTCGTCGATGGTTAGTGAAGGCCTTGATGGTGTCGCCGAGCGTTTCCATCGCATCCGAAGCAGGCTGTATTAACACGTCTGCCCCGTATAGTCAAGTTCGACACCGCGAAGCTCCCTGCGATCCTGAACGCCTTGGAGACGACCAACAACGGCCAGAAGCTCGTCCTCGAAGTCTCGGTAAGCATGGCCATGTCGAGGCTTTCGGCCTGAAGCATCTTCTGACGTTTAAAAGCAACATCTGGGCGAAAATGTTGTCCGCTGCATTGCTATGGACGGTAGGTTACAACTCGGGAAAGGGGGAGGGGATGGGGGAAAACAGTCTTTACGAACCGTAAACTCATGTCGCGATAGGTACCGAGGGTCTTACCCGAGGCGCCAAGGCCAAGGACACCGGCGCTCCTATCACGATTCCCGTCGGCCCTGCCACACTCGGTCGCATCATAAACGTCACTGGTGACCCGATCGACGAGCGTGGACCCATCAAGACCGACAAGTTCCTACCCATCCACGCCGAACCCCCGGAGTTCGTCGAGCAATCTACCACTGCTGAGATTTTGGTTACCGGTATCAAGGTCGTCGACCTTCTGGCTCCGTATGCTCGTGGTGGAAAGATCGGTCTCTTCGGTGGTGCTGGTGTCGGCAAGACTGTGTTCATCCAGGAACTCATCAACAACATCGCCAAGGCCCACGGTGGTTACTCCGTCTTCACCGGTGTCGGCGAGCGAACCCGCGAGGGCAACGATCTGTACCACGAAATGCAGGAGACCTCCGTCATTCAACTAGACGGCGAGTCCAAGGTCGCCCTGGTGTTCGGTCAGATGAACGAGCCCCCGGGTGCCCGTGCCCGTGTCGCTCTCACTGGTCTGACCATTGCCGAGTACTTCCGTGACCAGGAGGGCCAGGATGGTATGGGGATCACCCCGCATTTTATGAGTGGACGATCGCTGACCCCCCCGCAGTGCTTCTCTTCATCGATAACATTTTCCGATTCACCCAAGCTGGTTCTGAGGTGTCTGCTCTCCTAGGTCGTATCCCTTCGGCCGTCGGTTACCAACCCACTCTCGCTATTGATATGGGTGGTATGCAGGAGCGAATTACCACTACCAAGAAGGGTTCCATTACTTCCGTCCAGGCCGTCTACGTCCCCGCTGACGATCTGACTGACCCTGCCCCCGCTACCACCTTCGCCCACTTGGACGCCACCACCGTCTTGTCCCGTGGCATCTCGGAGTTGGGTATCTACCCCGCCGTCGACCCTCTGGACTCCAAGTCCCGTATGCTCGACCCCCGTATCGTCGGTCAGGACCACTACGATACCGCCACCCGCGTCCAACAGATCCTCCAGGAGTACAAGTCGCTGCAGGATATCATTGCCATTCTGGGTATGGACGAACTGTCAGAAGCTGACAAGCTCACGGTCGAACGTGCTCGAAAGATCCAGCGTTTCCTCAGCCAACCCTTCACCGTCGCCCAGGTCTTCACGGGTATCGAGGGCAAGCTGGTCGACCTGAAGGACACCATCGCCTCCTTCAAGGCCATCCTGGCTGGTGAGGGTGACGACCTTCCCGAAGGTGCTTTCTACATGGTCGGTGACTTTGCATCGGCTAAGGCGAAGGGAGAGAAGATCTTGGCCGAACTGGAGAAGTCGTAAGGAGCTAATACGGACTGCTGTTAAATAGACACTACTAGGGAAAGAGAGGGGGTAGTGACTTGTGTACATCTATAAAAGGGGAGCAGTTACGGTCTGATGATGCATCTAGCTCAATCGAGTCCCTTTTGTGAGATATACCAACACCAATTCGCCATCGTTCCGACAGGTCTGGGCGAATATGCCTCACAAAAAGCCCGGGGTTTTTTAATATCTTTGAGATCAGGTAAAATCGAGTCAGTATATACCCTCCTTCGTCCAGCTTCGAAAAGGGGATGTATATTTAGGCATTTCCTAAGTACTTCTGGGGCGTGTGGGTACCGACCCTCGTCATCGAACATATGCATTCAACAATATGAGGCAAAACGGACGACAACCGAGCGGAGACGAAGTAGACCGTAGGCGATGGCGGTACGAAGTTGGATCTCGCGTTTCCACGCAAGTAACTAATTACTATCCCACCAGAGGACAAGAGAAGGAAAAGGCTTGCTGAATCGATATAGAGCTGAGTTACCTGCTGTGCGGCTATCTACCTAAGTATATACACTTGTTGACTTGCACAACCAGACGCAGCGGCGGGTACCAGGGGGGAGGGGGGGGGGGGGAGATGTCGCTAAGGGGGCTGTAGGATTTTTTTTTTTCACCTCTCTCCCCCCTCTTGTCCTGGGAGACACGTCGGGACTAAGCCTCTAGTACCGCGCGACGCGGAGACTGGACGTCGACGGGGATACGACGCGTGTGACGGAGGAGAGGGCGGCAGGACAAGGCGGATCAAGCCGCGCTCGCCCGCGCCACGCCGCGTCTCTCGGCGCGACGCTTCGGAGGCAGTCCTACCATGGGTGGCTGGGGGGTTTGCTTCCTGACTACGTAAACGCCTCCGAGCCCTATCGCGTCGGACCCGATTCTCGGCTCCGCGAGTCGCTCCCGTCACGGCCTCCGCTTGAGCTCACATGGCCGGATGCAGGGCGATTCGTTGCGGCGAGCCCGCCGTTCACAAGTCTCTACCCGCCTGCCTACCTCTTCCTCGCCCTGCAGCAGCCAATGCGACCATTCATTCCGTGCCCGCGTGCTCGTAAATTCATACCTACGTACAACCGCTTGTCAGGCCCGCCTAGTTGCTATGCAGGAGATTTGCTCCGTTACTTACAGTTTACTCGACGCCCCCCAAGGACACACAAGTGCTTCCAGAATACGCCCAACCCTGTCCTACGCCGCCGCGAGCAAAGCTGTCCCGCCTGTGCCCCTGGCTCCCCTGCTGCAGAGGTGAGGCAGGGAGGGCCAGACGTAGGCGAGAAGCCAGCTATACAGCCCCCCTTCGCAAATATTAAGTACACCCAGTATCGCACCTCGCCCCGCAATAACTCTCCCTTTTTCCTTTCATCCCTCCCTTCCTTCCTTTCCCCCTATCCACGACGCTCTCGCCAAGCCAGTCCCTCTCTCTACCGCGCCCTCCCGGCCCCCGCCGACGACGCACCCACGAGCAACTCGGTGCCGCGGCTCGGGCTCGTCTGCAGCTCCTCCGCGGCGCCCAGCCGCACGGAACCCGGGTCCGCGTCGGCGGCGGCCGGCGGCGCTGCGTACGGCGCGAGCCCGTACCAGGCGATGGTGGCGACGCCGAGCAGGCCGCAGAGGCAGGTCAGGGCGAGGGCGGCGACGCCGCGCGCCGTGAAGCCGGCGGGCAGCGGGTCCGGCGCGCGGTTCTCGCCCGTCAGGTCGAGGCCGGCGCGGCCCGCCGCGTTGCCCGCCGTCGGCACCGCCTGCGCCGCGCACGCCTCCAGGTGGTCCGCCGGCAGCGCGAGCGAGCGCTGCAGGTCCAGCGGCGCCTCGACGAAGGTGGCGACTGCCGGGGGTGTTAGCGAGGGTCGGGGCGGTGAGGGGGGGGGGGGGAAGACTTACTGAGGCCCGACGCGACGTGCCACTCGATGTGGCAGTGGAAGAGCCAGACGCCTAGGCAAGGGGGGGTCAGCAGGGGATCTCTACCGGGGGGGGAAGGGGGGGGGGAAGAGAAGAGCGAGGAAGACGCACCGGGGTTGTCGGCGCGGAAGCGCAGGACGAGGTTGCCGGAGGGGTAGAGGACGAGGGTGTCGCGGCGCATGGGGACGGCGGGGAAGTCGGACTCGGCGACGGGGGCGTCGGCGAAGGTGCCGGCGTCGTCGGCCGAGCGGTGCAGCGCCTGGAAGTGGTGGCCGTGCAGGTGGAACGGGTGCCGGCCCGTGTCCAGGTTGTTCACCACCACCTGCACCACCTCGCCGCGCTCCAGCACGAACGCATTCGTGAACGACCCGTACACCGCCGCCTCCGTCGCCAGCTCCCCCGCCGTCAGGGCCGTGTACAGCGTCGGCACCTTGGGCGACTTGTACGTGATGTTGTTGAAGAAGGCGCTGCGGGAGGGTGAAAAGGGGGGGGGTGTCAGCGCCGGCTGCGAGTATTAGGAGGTCAGGGCAGCTTACTAGTTCGCGCCGTCGCCCAGGTTGTCCATGACGACGTCGAGCTGGACGGTCCTGTCCGGCTCCCCGAGGCGGGGCTGGTTGTCGTGCGGGATCAGGGTCATGTCGTCGAAGGGGTCGAGCTCGTCGACCAGGGTCGGGTCGGGCAGCGGCCGGGCCTCGTCGTAGACCAGCCAGCCGGTGACGTTGTAGTTCAGGCCGTCGGGGATCGTGTCGAAGAGAGTCTAGCACAGGGCGACCACAGTATTAGCATCTGCCGTGTCCTGGGAGGGTGGGTCGACGGGTGAGAATAGAGAAGCGACTCGCCGTATCCATGCTCGCCACGAAGGCGTAGTTAGCCGTGGTCTCGTTCTTGGTCGTGACCAGGAAGCTGCAGCGCTGGGCGGCCGACAGGTAGATCATCTCGGCGACAGCGGGCTGGTGGTAGACGCCGTCGACTTCGACAATGGTCATGTTATGGCCCTCAAACCAGAGATACTGCCCGGCGAAGGCGCCCATGTTGACGACGCGGAAGAGGTACGTCTTGCCGGGCTCGACGGGGACCGTGAGGTTCTGAGTGTCGTTGAACAGCGCCGCCTGGGGCACGGGCTCAGCGCCCGTGGGGTTGGCCTTGTTGATGAACCCGGCGATGAGGTCGGTCATCTGGCCGTGGTACCAGTCGGAGACGGTCAGGATCCTCTCCTCGTCGTACTGGTCCAGAAACGGAGACTCCGGGTCGTGGACGATGAGCGGCCCCCTCAGCCCGTCCGGGTACTGCGCGTTAGTGTGGGAGTGGTACCAGTACGTGCCCGGTTGGTTGATCTCGCGGCCTCGTTAGCTTTCCCCGAGCGCGACATTTCTGTCGGTTAAAGATGGAAATAAAAAGGTGCGCGGCTTCTTACCGTGAAGTTGTAAGTGAAGCTCGAGCCTGGGGCAATCGAGCACTGCGATACTTGGGCAGGGCCGTCCATGTGAGTGCTCCCGTTCATGAACAGGCCGTGGAAGTGGAGAGAGGTGGGCCGGTCGCCTAGCTTATTTTTCACGCGGATGACAATGTTGTCGCCGACGTTGGCGACGATGGGAGGGATCGGCCATTGGTCGTTTATCCCGATGGTAGCTCTCTCGAAGGCGCCATCGGGATTCGACGTCACCCAGGTCACGTTGAAGTCGTGGGTGATGGTGGCTGCCCTGGAGAGACGGAGGAGAGCGGTGGTCAACGCCGCAAGAGGGACGAGACGCCCGAGGAGAGAAACCATGGCGAGCACCTGCAGTAGTTAGTAGTTGGTGGTTTGCGAAGAAGGATAAGAAGAAGAAGGGTGCGACGGGACCCTCGGGGGGGAGAGACGATACAGGACAGAGAGAAAGAGAATGTGCGCCGGTGTTCCTCTCAGCGGATAGGAGGTGGACCTCGGATGATATTGAGTACCTAGAGCTGGGGGTCGGGGTGAATAGTGGCTGCTGGACGTCCCGGCCTCGACGGCGCGCCCTGAGACCAATGAACCAACGATAGCCGAAGTTGGAATTTCTACGGTTTCGGCTTTCTCTGCCCGCCGCGGAATTGGAGGCCGATAGGTTAAGAGGGCAGAGAGCAGCCCCCCCGGACGAGTCCAAGGCGCATAGAGCACAGACAAATGTAGGCAGGCAGCCTGAGCATTCCGTTGCCTGGCATGCCCCTACCGGATCTGCACACCTACCTATTGCTCTTCTTACCCACGGGCTTCTCTACCTCCACCCCTGGCCTCCTCCCACCTCAGGTACCTAGCGTCTCTTCGGCCGCTGCTCAGGGACCGATATCCGGAGCTGTACACACCCGCAAGCTATGTAGCATGTCTCTTACATCGACGTATGTACATATATCCTACATGCGGGAACCATTCGCTTGCTACGGAGGAATGTCGTGTAAGCGACTGGAGCTACCTGAGGTTAGGTAGTTATAGGCTTGGCCGGGGGGGGGGGGGGCAGTCCAGGGGAGCAGTCCGGTGCAGGGGCTATCTTATCAATCTAGGTACCTACTTGGTGCCACGAAAATGGACAGGGGCAGACTTTTTTGGTTGCTGTTTTCGTTTGCCTAATCAGATTCGAGACGTCAGCTGGGTTGGATGGATAATAGCATGCTGAAGCGGCAGGGAGGGGGAGGCTAGCATTCGCAGAGGAGCAAGCAGTCGACTCGAGATGGCCCTGTCACAGCGTCTACCTATTCCACTTACCTAGGTAGGTATGCGTGTGCTCGCTTTGCCCTACTTGACCTCCCCGCCCCCTCGTGTGTTTCGATCCACAGCCCTTTCTCGGCGTCTGCGCAGTGATTCCTTGCTTCGTCGGCAAACAACGGGCGTGGCTCCATCCCCCCAAACCGGTAGCACATGTGCCGTCGGTTTCCGCGAGGAAATACTGGATGCCTACCTACCTATCTAGGCGCTACCTAGGTGCTACCTCGGTGCCGCCTAGATCACTCTAGGTGTAGAGTTACGGCCAATGCATCGGGGCTCCGTACGCGCTGGCGGGGGATAGATATAACTACTCAGCAGGTATCGATGTCTACCTACCTGGCAGACTGTGGAGAGTACTTGGAGCGTCGCTTGCTTGCTTGCTTTCCCTGTGACGCCAATATGATATGTTAGCCGTGTTGAGAGACGTTGCTTGTGGGTATGTCTACGCATGGATGTCGATAAGTCGGCAGCGGGGATACGACGGGATTGGTAGGTGGGTATATTCGCTACCTTAGGTCGGTACCCACCTGAACCTAGGTACGTTAGGTATCTGTCTATAGACCTAAACCGGCACGCTTGATGATCTGATAAGATGATGTCCGAAACGGCAAAAAGTGTAGGTACCTACCGTGTTGCATACTACTACCTACACATCGCTGCTACGCTCCGAGTGGGTGTGTGGGTTGTGTGGGTTGTGTGGGTTGTGTGGGTGGATGGGTGGATGTGGGGCGACATCTATCGTCCTCAAGACGGCTAGGCACTCATACGCATCGTATCTTCGTCAACGTTTGCACTGGTACGAGAGTCGAATGAGGCAGACTGGACGTCAGTTCGGGAACATGCCGCACGTGGATGCTTAGTAGGTATATAGATACATGCCTTACTCCTCGACGCCAACAACCGGCCGAAGCGGCACCAACGAGTAGCCCGATGTGGAAAAATCAGACCAAGATCGCCGACTACCTAATGTGTGCTGACGCGGTGAAGAATTCGACAGATAATGTGGAATTAAGACCGTGTTCTAACTATCTTGCTAGGTAGATTTTACTCCGGTGCAACACCTTAGGTACTACCCAACCTATCTGCCCTAAGGTAGGTAGGTGTCGGACGTAGGTAGGTGTCTACCACAGTCTGTATACGAGCCGTGACAGAGGCCGCTCTCAACTTTTCGGGAACGCCTTTTCCATGCAGGTGCCCTCTCGAGCTCACGAGATGATCCACCAAGTACCCAGCCTTTATCGTATTGTGCCCACCCATCCGTTGCCGCAGGTAGGTACATTAGTCGGGTACGAGTAGGCATAGTAGAAGAAGATTACACGGAGCTCCCTCTGCAGCTCCATATAAGAAGCCAATTTGCATCGGTGTCCAAAGCAGCTAGGGAGAACCTGAACCTGTGCCGGCCAGGGAATAGAGACATCCGTAAGTACATTTGCCTGTCGTACTGCCCACCCCTAAGGTACCCAATGCACAGGTTGACAGGCATATCCATTCGCCAAGGAGAACGAGCAGCCAAGCAACGGATCTACCGGTGGCTCCACGGGTTGGCAAAGCTTGAATCGCCAAGCGGAAAGCTTTTCGCAGCGCTATGACGGAAGACAAAACTACATAGGTAATTACCTACCTACGCAGATCGTGGTGACATCCTTTCCCCATCCATGCATCCCATCCCCAGGCCCGAGTCCTGGTCCCCTCCCCCCGAAACCAAGACATGCCCTCTTAAGTGAGCTAAGTGACTGGTAGCCACGCCGCGAATGAGGATGTAGCTACGGATCTACCTACTATACCTACCAACCTACCTCGTTTGCGGGCAAGCTTTGATGTTTCTCATCTCGGGAGGTAGGTAGGCATCGAGACAGCCAGGCCACGATATCCCGGTGTATCCCGGCCCGTCGAGGCAGGTTTACACAAGCAACCCCCGTCTTTTGTCGTTGCCACCTCCTCGCAGCAACCCGCAGAACCGATGGATAAGTCTTCCTCCCCTCTCATCCCCCGGCCTGTGACTCGGCCACCTCCTTGTTCGAGGAGGGCATGTCCACTTCCATCCGCAGCGTTACCTAGCTGCCAAGCGAGTTCGCACTAGTAGTAGACAACAACACGGATAAAATCTAAAGGAGGGGGGCCCTTGCTAGGTAGGTAGTATCTGGGTTAGGCATTCGATTTTCTTCGTCGATCGAACCATTCCCAACCTTCCCAGGCCATTGCCGTCTTTTTCTGCTGTCATCTTTTCCTCTAGCTGGCCGAGCTAGCACGTCTCTTCTTCTTCTTCTTTAGTTCAGCTCAGCTCAGCTCAGCTCCGCTTAACTTAGCTAGTCTTCTCAACCATCCTACAATTCACCACGCGCCAAGGTACCCAGCACAAGGGGCAAGGTGAACTTAACCACCTTCACCGGCCCGTAATCGGCGCCCGTCCCGGCAAATCCCCTTGGTCTCGTCCGTAACCCCCCCTTGAAAGGTACCCCACCCAAGATTATCTGATTGCATTTATCAGATTGACAGATAATTCGCGCCCACTTTCATCTCGCACCTGAGGGCTACACATACGCGCAACGCGAGAGAGACCAGATTATCCTCCCAGAAACTCTCCCGAGGATCAACGGGGCTCGAATCTAGTAGCATTCTCGCGATATCTTCACCTTCACCTTCACCATGGCGGATCAGACCAGCCGCGTCTTTGCCCCCCAAGTCTGTCTCGTCGTGTTTCGGGAGACCCTCGAGACCGTCATCATCGTCTCTGTCCTGCTGGCCTTCCTCAAGCAGACCCTCGACGGCCCCAGCCGCGACGCCAGAGTGTACAAGGCTCTGGTGAAGCAGGTGAGCTCGCAGCATCCCGTGCTCGACTTGATGAACGTTACCGAGGGGTGAAAGCAGAACTGCTAACCACGGAAGTCCTTAGGTATGGGTCGGCGTCGGCCTGGGCTTCCTCATTTGCCTCATCATCGCTGCCGGCATGATCGCCGCCTTCTACAAGCTGGGAGCCGACCACTGGGGCGCGAACGAGAACAAGTGGGAGGGTGCGTTCGCCCTCATCGCGGCCCTCATCATTAGCGTCATGGGCGTGGCCCTCCTTCGCATCGGCAAGATGCAGGAGAAGTGGCGAGTCAAGCTAGCCAAGGCGGTCGAGGCTCCGCTACAGGTCACAGATCACCGGAGCAGCTGGGGCAGGCACTTCGCCGAGAAGTACGCCATGTTCGTCCTGCCTTTCGTTACCGTCCTGCGCGAGGGGATCGAGGCCATCGTCTTCGTCGCCGGCGTCTCGTTCTCCGCACCAGCTACCGCCGTCCCGCTCGCCGTGGTAGTCGGCTTAATAGCAGGTTGTATCGCAGGCTACATCATATACCGGTACGTTCTGGCTTCGGCGCGCGATTTGGTTAGCGTCCTGCTGACCCCGTCATCAGAGGAGGAACCGGAGCCAAGTTGCAGTACTTCCTCGTCGCTTCTACGTGTCTGCTCTACCTCATCGGTGCCGGTCTCTTCTCGCGCTCTGTCTGGTATTTCGAAGCCCAGAAGTGGAACGACGTCGTCGGCGGTGACGCTGCCGAAGTGGGAGATGGTCCGGGATCGTACGACATCGACAAGAGTGTCTGGCATGTCAACGTAAGTGATGAATATTATATGCCGTTCTTTACGTGCCTACGTTCCTATTTACTCATGACCCGCCACAGTGCTGCAGTCCGACGCTGGACGGGGGCTACGGCTGGGGAATTTTCAATGCCATCCTCGGATGGACGAATTCAGCAACGTACGGTTCGGTGATCTCTTATAATGTCTACTGGATCGCCGTTATGATCTCGCTGGGCGCCTTGAGATATCACGAGGTGAAGGGCCACTGGCCACTCACGAAGGCGAAGGCGGACTCGATCGGGCAGACTTCGACCACCGAATCGGTTGATCTGGGTACCAAGTCTCAGGAAGCCGGTACCGTGCTCGGCAAATCGGTAGTCTAAGGAAGCCAGCGGCTAGCTATCTTTAAAGAGACTATATGGAGCTTCGTGTCGCGGCTTTCCGAGAGGACGCGTGGGAGCGCTCAGCCTGTTATTATAAACTCGCAGGTGTGAGTAATACGGGAAGAGGAGTGAAATAGGTAGGCTAGTGTAAGTGAGCTTACACTGGGTACCTAAGCATATACTACTATCTAGGGAAATCACAAAACGCGAGTTGACTATCTGTATAGACTATCTATATATTAGGTAAAATACCCTACAAGACACCTCTATATTACCTAGGCGTAGCATCTAAGAATGCCGGCGAAGTAAAATTTTCTAACGTCCATCGTAGGCTAGTTAGGTACCTGTTTTCCCTCAGCTATCGCGCCCTCGGTTAGTACATACTAACCTGTATAAGGGTAGAGGTATACCTACCTACCTCACCGACCTTGCCTAGGTACCTACTGTAGATCCCTTCGACAGGGAATCGTGGAATATAGGAACACATTAAGATATCCGTCACCTCATAATCCAGTACCTCTCTAGCTTCATAATGCAGATACCTGCATACACACGGTCAGAGTGACGTGGCCATGTTCGTGGAGGTGGAAATATTAGCTAATCGAGTTTTCCTGTATCGGCATCTAACGACCCGCCAAGCGTTCCCCCACACTGCCAAGCTATCAGCTCCCAGTGGCGTTGCTGTGCACATCCAGCGCTTCGTTGCCTAACCACTCCACATTCCTGCTACCACCGCCGAAGAAGTGCAAGTTCACCACAACGGATACAGGCATAATTACTCTCTTCTCCGACAAACCCTGACTATCGCGGGTCGGTCGATTTAATCTCGGTACCCGAAAATCTCGTGATTCGATACCCTCAAGCCGGCCAATCTGGGACCTTAGGTAGGTATATAACCCACCTGGTCGTGTGAGCTTTGCCGCAGGTCGAGCTCGGAACTGATGACCGCATCGAAACTCGACATCTTCAGGGTAGTGCCTCACACCGGAGACCGTCCAGATGGGCGACTCGAGCAGCGCCGCTCAGAGCGACTCGTCCGAGCCGGACCCGCCGGGCACGCGTCTTGAGCTTATCAGCATCGCCAAGGACGGAGACCTGATCCTGGACGTGACCTTTGAGAACTCGAAGGAGACCCTGCGGGCCGCGCGGGAGGCGCAGGCGAAGCTCCCGAGCCGCGAGCCGCGCGCGGCGCCGAAGGCGAGAGTCCGGCTGGCCTTCCGCGTTCGCATGGCCGCGCTGAAGAGCACGTCGAAGTACTTCGACAAGCTGCTGGGGGGCGGGGGCGGGGGCGGGGGCGGGGGTCACTTCAAGGAGGCGCGGGACGTGGCGAGCGCGCTGGCGGCGCTGGCGGCGCGGGGCGTGGCGCCGGGGGCGGCCGCGGCCGCGGACCTGCCGTGGGTCGCGATCCGCGACGACGACCAGGCGACGCGCTACGCGCACCGGGAGGGCGTGTTCGCGGACCTGCTGCGGGTGCTGCATGGCGGCGAGGCGGCGGCGATGCAGCAGCGGGCCACGATGCCGTACGTGACCACGCTGGCCGTCCTCGCCGACCGCTTCGACTGCACCGCCCCCGTCGCCCGGTACCTCGCCGTCCGCCTCAAGTTTAAGTGGCCCGTCACGAACCGCAAGTACGCCTCCTTCGCCGCCGTCGCCGCCGCCGTCGACGAGCCCGCCGCCACGAGCCGCGCCACCGAGGAGGTCCTGCGCCAGAAGATCCTCGTCTCCTGGCTCATGAACCAGCCCGCCAGGTTCCAAGCCGCCACCCGCGAGATCATCATGGACGGCTCCTGCCGGTGGAGCCCGTTCTCCCAAGACGACGACGCGCCGGACGCCACGTGGTGGTATCTGCAGGACGGCCTTGAGGGTACGCTTCCGAGGCCCCTATTTTTTCCTTTTTTATTATTTATTCATTTTTTTTGTTGTCTTTCCTCTTACTTTCTCCTCCCCACCTTATTCGTTTCTTCTCCAACCCCAACACCACATCTATCAAGCACGCAGGGCCTTTACGATTAACACGCCTCGGGCAGAAGAGCTGCAGTACCGGCGCCACTGCATCCTGAACACGGTCGGATCGGTGACGCGGCACTTTTTAAGGCTGTACGCGTCGCGGGAGCGGCAGTGCACGCTGGGCTACGACTCGAGCGAGGCGTGCGACTCGTACCAGCTGGGGGAGATGTACAAGTTCCTCGCGCACCGGCGGCTGCTCGCCGCGGTCGACTTTTCGCCGGCCTCGCTCGACGCCGTCGCCGACCCGGCCCAGCTCCCCGTCGCCGCCATCCTCGCCGCCCTCCGCCAGTGCCCCGCCTACCAGGTCAACAAGAACCACTACAACTGCGGCCTCCGCACCCGCCTCCTCCCCATCCTCGACTTCCTCCTGGCCCTCCTCTCCGCCGCCTCCGTCTCCCCCCCCCGCGCCGCCTGGGAGTCCGACCGCGCCGCCGCCGCCTGGCGGCCGCCCCCCGGCCGCGACCGCGAGCCCGCGCCCTTCCGCTTCACCCGCTCCCTCGCCGCCGACCAGCGCCTCCGCTTCGAGCACGCCCTCGGCACCGATAAGTTCGCCAGGAAGGTCTTCACCGCCTCGAGCTGGGACTGGACCGCCGAGTAGGGGGACCAGGACCCTGGGGCTAGCCTCCCGTCGACGACGCCGAGATGGAGTCTGAGGTGAGCGGCGCGGCGTAGCGTATATCTGATTTTCTTTATGGGAAGGGTTCTCAAGAAACCCGGTTCGCTGGCGGTAGTGATAGGCAACGATCCAACCCTACGAAAGTATTCCCGTCCTTCTTTTAACGAGAGGGTAGGATCGAACCTGTATAATACACCCATAGGCATCGCGTGGTTCCCATAGTCGGCTGCTCTGCCGGATTTGGAAATTAGGAACGTTGAGATGAATAGTATCCTACAATGTCTAGCAACCTAGTAAGAACCGCACGAAGTCTAGCTCAGCGATACCCAAGTAGGAAAGCCTTCTAATAGCGCAGCAATACTCTGTATATACGCGGTCTTCCCGTCCCCCTTTTCCTCCTCTCTCCCTTTCTTGCGCGGCTGGACGAAGACGGTGCTTATTAATTCACCGACCGCCGGAAGAAATCATGACGGGGAACAATAAATATTGGGAATAATGATGATGATGGGCGCCTGGTAGAGCTTGCTACGCCCGAACGCCGATACGCATCGCCTTGTAACACAAACAACGGTACGGAGTCCTTTTCCTAAGTAGGCCGCGGCGCGGATGAGAGCAGGAAAGCCGGAGCGATTGGGCGGGATTAGCTCCTTAGAGCTTCGAGCCTGTTCCTCATCTGGTCCATCATGGCCTCCTGGTCCTCCTCCTCCTCCTCGAGCTGGTGCTGCTCCTGTTCCTTGGCCGGCTGGGCGGCGGCGGCGGGCGGGGTGCTGGGGAGGGCGCCGGTCTTGTCCATGCGGCCCTTGAGGATCTCGCCGAGGACCTTGTCGACCTCGGCCTCGGCCTCGAGGTCGTCGTCGGCGAGGAGGTCGTCGTCGAGGGGGAGGGTCTCGCCGACCATCTCCTCGATGACGCCGGCCTTGAGCAGCTCGGTGCCGAGCTCCTGCATCGTGCCGGCGAGCTGGGGCAGCCGCACGAGCGCGTTGACGTCCCGCATCACCGTCACCGACGCGCGGATGCTGCCCTCGATCCGCCGCACCGCGAACGCCTCGTTCACCTGCATCTGCACGCTCGACAGCTGCGCCTTCGACGTCACCAGCCGCGCCGACGTCCGCCGCACCCGGATCAGCTCCCGCGCGAACTCCCGCGCCTCCCGCTGCGCCTGCCGCGCCTGCCCCGGGTTCCGCTGCCCCCGCCGGTCCGCCTGCAGGATCAAGTTCTTCGTCTTCAGCTCAGCCTGCCGCACCTGCGCGATGTCCCGGTCGAGCTTGCGGATATTCGAGCGGATCAGCGCGTTGCATTTTCGCATCTGAGAGAGCACGGTTATGTCAGCGGGTGATTTCTCCTCTCAATCTGTCTTCCCCCCTTGGGCCTTATTCTTCCTCGACGCGTTATATTCTACTCTTTTTTCCTCTGCCGCTCGTCCGCTCGCTCGCTCTAGTGTCTGTCTTCCTCGAGGGAGCGTAGGGAGGGATAGAGGTAGTTCGAATTCGAGGAACGGGGCGTTGGGGGCGCGCACACACCTGAGCATTGGGGTCCGGCTTGACGAAGAGCGCCCTGAGGCCCTCCATCTCCGTAAAGGAGCGTCCCGAGGAGGGGCTTGAGAATACGGGGTGGGATAGGAAGGGGTGGGTGTTCGATGTCTAGACGAGGCTCGACAGGCCGGCTCCTGTCGAGGGGCCGGGAATGGCTGCGATCAATTGTAGGGTCGATTATAGGTGGGCGGCTCGGAAGTGGGATGTAGATGGGCAGGCCTCGCGATGGACGAAGGGACGCCGAGATGGTACTGCAGAGCTGGTAGATGATCTAGCCGGTAGGAAATAGAGACGGAGAGGCGCGGTTAATGCAATGACGTTGGTCCGGGCCTGTTAGGCTGAAGAGGAACGAACAGCGGACATTAGCGGCCATCCATTGCATGTTTGTACATGCATAACACTAAAACACTAAGGTACATTGACTAGGAGGAAGGTTGCCTGAGGGCCGACCGCTTACTAAGGCTTCCAAGCCCCGATTGTAATCCATAAAGAATACTGCGAGGCGAGACGAGGAGTATGCATCTAAAGAGGTTTTCACAACTACTAAGAAATTTATCCTGTCCGGGGGACGATTACCTGTACAAGGTCCTAACTTGAGACCCTGTAAGCTACCTATAGATATCATAGGTACCAGCACCTTTTATAACACTTTTTAGACATTAAATACCATAGGATCCGTTATTCATCGTGTTTACCCCGGGAGAACAACCAACTAGGTGTATTTTCTCACTACAAAACTACCTCTACCTACTCATAAATACACACTCCCGGGACCCAACCCGGTGTGGATCCTAAGGCATCAGCTATATGTAAAGCATCAGCGCTTCGCCCAATCAAACGGCGACTTGTATTGATGCCTTACCTACCTAGGTAATCAAACGGAGGCATGTCGTTGATTGACTGCCAACGGCACTGCCAACGAGCGCTGCCAACAGCAGCTCAGGAGCTGTAAATGAGCTGTTGAAAAGCCGGCACTTAACCCCAACTCGGTTCCCGTCAGGTACCTAACTCATGTACTTTAGGAGACACCTAATTTCTCCCCTTAGGTAGTAAATACGTAGGCAGGTAAGTCCAGGCTTTAGGGATATGCTCTCGGGCCTGGCTAAGAGCCTGCGAGGTTGCGATACGACAACCCGAACAAACATACTCACGTAACCTCTGTCAATAGGTAACCCTGCCTACTTCTTAGGAGCCCTGCTGCCTCACCGGTTCTGAGGCAGCTCTTCTGATAATCAGTTCAAGGGTCACCACCATCTTCTGTTTGCCGTTGCCCACGCCCGCCCCCTGGCAGAGATCGGCAGTGACACCTCTTCTTAAGCTTACCCCAACATACGGTGTAGCTTGCGGGGACCTATGAGAATACGATGCCTCGAATGAATGGGACATCCCCTGAGGTTGTCGAGTTTCTTCTTTCCTTTTCTTCGCCACGATACTGTGTGCTAATAGTCAAGGATAGGCAGGGCCCCAGTTCTCATCGCTTGATCTCCTCTTTTCCCGCCCGTCATCGTTTGTAACTCGTTCTGTTCCCTTCCATGTGGAATCTGTTCTCGGATCGGGAGTGTGTCTCAGGATCTAGCACTCATTGTTATCTGTCACTTTGTCGTACCTAGGTAGGTAGGTAGGCATCTAGGTACCGATTTCGCTCAAGAGGAACTCGAAATCAGTTACTACCTGGTACAATCAGGGACAGCAACAGATGAGCAAAGTTCCACTAGAACCGACTAGTCACCTACTTGTTGGCTGAGACACTCGGCAGGTCGTTGATCCGTCTCCGCCCTGGTGATGACTAACCCTGAGCGTTACGTAACGGCCTAGTCGTCCCAGGATTTAAAAACCCTGAGACGACCCACCCTTTTATTCCTTTCCTGGTCAAGCTCGCCTACCCCGCTTCTGCGAATCTAGAAAGCATCACTATCAACGCTCGAGGTAGGTATGCCAACCCCCCCCCTTGACAAGCCACCGCTAAGGACGCGCTGATCTCTCCAGACCGGCGACTACGTAGTACGCACCCGCGCAAATTACACACCATGCGGCTCACCTCGACTCTCTCCGCTCTTCTCTTCGTCGGCGGCGTCTTCGCGGGCCCAGCCGCGTACGGGATATGCCAGGCGGGCTGTGCCGGCGTCGTCATGGCATGCTATTCGGCTGCCGGCTTTACTTGGGGTGCCACCTTGGGAGCTACGGCCCCTGCCACCGTTATCGCCTGCAACGGCGCATACGGGACCTGCCAGGCTGCCTGCGCGGCTGTGCTCCTGGCACCCACCCCGTGAGGGTAGCGCGGATAGAAGAACCACCTTGCTTGCATCGGCAAGACGAGGATCAGGGTGGGAGACAGGTTGGCTGCTTTCCGAAACAGCACTAGGCGATATGGACAACTGGGCGGTAGTTAAGTTTGAACCGTGGGCGATGCGAGACGGGCTTTCAGATAGCCAAGGCTATCGAACGTTCCTTAATACACAACCGAAGGATATCTAGCGATTGAAGGCTTCGTTGTCCTACTCACGTTCCGCCCGAGGTGAATGTACTGTATCACTGCGCCTATATTAGCAAGCGCACAACCTTTCCTAAGTAAATGCTTTTAGTTCCTGTTTTACGAACCCTCCTGTAATAGTGGGACACGGGAGCATCACGCTCTGTAATACTGCGCCTTGCAGTCCCACGGCATCGTGAATACCTCGTCGCACTTGGGGCGTTTTGTCGCCCGCGTTTTATGTCACCCGAAGGACGGAGTCTACGAATGATCTTCTCGTGTTCTCTCTAGCACATCATCGAATCCGATAGAAATCCCTCGTCTTGCAGCTGCCAACAAGAGTACCGAATTTATTATACAGGCAATATCCCGTAATTCATTCGGGAAAGATACGTGAAGCGGAAATCGTCGTTGGATGTATACATACTTCCATCGAGTAAATTTGCTCTGCAGGCCGAACTTTTCATCCAGGCGGGCTACCTTGCAGTAGGTAGCTCGTCTCGGGCCAACATGAGGTGGCGTGCTGCTCCCGCCAACAACTTGCAAGTGGCGAGATATGGCGCCTCCGGGGAAGGGTGGTTGTGTTCAAAGCGGCGTGTCGGTTCTATCGTGTTCTGCACTTTTCGCGATTCCTCCTAGCTGCAAGTAGGTATCGCCATCGAACATCCTCTCTTCGTGCTGAGTCAACAGGTTGAGATAGCTCGCGAATTCGTTGGCGTGACTCGGACTCCAAAAGCGTGCCGACACCAATGTTTAAGAGGGCACATGGCGGCTTATGGAAACTAGAGAGAGTTCTGGAGGGGAAACGCCGACAGAAACCCGTCCCGCTTGTCAGTACCTACCTCAGGTATCAGGTGCCTAACAACCTCCTATGCACTTAACGCGGTTTCTCCTCGCTGGAAGCTGCATGTATGCGTGTATCACCTACGTGCAGTGTGTGTTATATGTAGGCAGGCAGGCGTTGGTAAGGAACCCCCTATATCCTCCCTCTCGGCCCCATCTTTGCCCGATTAGGTCATCCGGTAAGGTGTGTGTGCTGGCTTGGACCTGCGTACCTAGGCATCTCCGAGGAACCTCTCCGGCAAGTACACCGGCTAGGAGAAGCGTGCGAGGAGATACCTTGGGCCTACGCCGAGGGGCAAGTACCTGGCTACAACGGAGGCGAGGCAGCCCGCGACACGCTGGCGCCCAAACTGCAGGTGGCTACACGGCGCTTCCCTGGCCTAACCTGGCCTGGGTCGGGTACCGTAGGTACCTCCCAGCCCCAGCGGATGTACCTGGGGGGCCGGGCGTAGAGGGCAACTCTGCATTATCTGTGTGAGGCCGGTACCTCCGACAACCCGTACGTCGGCCAGAGGTACCTCGTCCTGCTTCTCCTGCTTTCGTGCGGCTTCGATCCGATACTTCCTCATCGGAGGGGTGCATCATTAAGCTTTTCGCAGGAGCCTCACATTTTGTGCGATTTTTCAGTCCGCCGCCCCTCCCTTCCACTGCCTTCCCGCCAATTCGAGCCATCTCAGCTTCAACAACCCGCCCTCCTGCCGACACCCACATATACCCTCTCTCTTCCCTCTCCCTCACCATCCCACCGGCTCTGCCGACGTCACCCAACCGCCTTCACGTAACCGCTTTCTCTGCCCGCACCGACGACGTCCCAACATCGGGCTTCCGTCGCTACCATGGCACAAGTCACCCCCGAAGGTAAATCCTTACCCCTCCCCCAAAGCGCAGACGACGCGGACTGTCGCGCAGTCTGGATGTTCTACGCCAAGCTGCTGTGGCGGGACGATCGCGGGAGAGCTTCTGCGTGCCGGCAGCATTTCCATCACTCCCGCTCCTCTCCCCCCTCCCCCCCCCTTCCCAGCTGGTATCAGGTCGCCTGTGCTAACTAGCAACCCTCCTACGCGTAGTTCTATGGGCCCAGCGCTCATCTAATACCGATCCGGAGAAGAATTTCATCTACCTCACAATCTCGGTCCCGGACGTACTCAAGGAGAATCTGAAGCTCGATGTACAGCCGACAACGCTCACCTTCACCGGTCACTCTGAGACCTTGAAGCGGACCTACCACCTGGAACTTGCCTTCTACGGCGAAATCGATGCCGCCGAGACCAAAATCAACCATACCTCCCGCAACGTGGAGCTGAAGTTGCGCAAGAAGGAGCTCAACGAAGAGTACTGGCCACGACTCTTGAAGGAACCGAAGAAGGTTCAATTTCTGAAGACCGACTTCGACAAGTGGCTCGATGAGGATGAGCAGAACGAGGCTCCCGAGGAGGACTTCTCCCAGTTTGGCGGCATGGGTAAGTAAAAATATCTCTACACCCCGCCCGCTCCCTTGTTTTTACTCCATCCACCCCCACCCCCCCATACCGAGGTCGCAGCCTAGCATGACGTGTTTTGACTAACTTTGGCGGCTCTTACAGGAGGTATGCCTGGTATGGGTATGTAACAGTGCTCGTCCCCACTGGGATCAACGACCGTTAAGGGAAATAACTAATACGAGGTCTTTAGGCGGTGGCGATTTTAGTGGAATCGATTTCTCCAAGCTGGGCGGCTCCGACACTGCCGCCGGTATCGACGAGGAGGAGGATGATGATTCGGACGACGACATGCCAGCTCTCGAAGGCGAAGAGGAGGAGGCCAAAGGAGAGGCCAAAGGAGAGGCCAAAGGAGAGGCCAAAGGAGAGGCCAAAGGGGAGGCCAAAGACGAGGTCAAAGAAGAGGCCAAAGGAGAGAAGGAGGATGCAGCCAAGACGCCTGCGTAAGTTCTCTAGGACCTCGGCGGATCGCCAGCTCCCTCTCCACAATTGCCCGACACCCGCGGGCTTTGTTGGTCCTGTCAGGTCCTGAGAAGATGCTTCAGGCGTGCGAAGAGGGATTGACAAGTGGCCGTGCGGTTTACGCGTGTTTCGGGAGCCGGCGAGCTATTGATAAACTTGGAGGTTAAGGTTACCCTGACATCCGACGCCGGAATCTGGTCAATTTATTGAGTAGTCAAGCTGCTTCTGCATCATGACACACAGGCCTGTCTCTGCGATACCGATCATGAGCCGGGACCGTCGCATCAAGCCTTAGAAGGTTGCTCCCCACCCGTTGACTTTCCGTAGCCTGGCCATAGTTTTGCATCACCTACTCGGTTATTACCTACAGCATTCCGCCACGTTCGCGAGCACCTAGACATTTTCGTGATGTGTCTTGGACTTCCGCAAGCTGGCCGGCCGCAGTTCCCCGTTCTTCGTATGATTGGCCGTGCCAGTGTCCTCGGATCTGTGAGTCTCTAGTTAGTACGACGCTGGTTTCCATCGTCGCCCTCTGGTCTCTCCCCCCCCCCCCCCCCCCCTTCCCCCCGGCTTCATCGCCCCTTTCCTCGCCTCGTCTGGTTTCCCGTTTCCTGTCTGAACTCGATAATCTCAGCTCGCAAGTTGTCTCGGACTGCTTTATACACCCAAGTCGAGCCCCGGAACAGCAAGTAGGTGCCTACCTAGTGTCGGGGCTCGCCACTCTCCACCCGTAGCGCACGCACGCTTGCGAGATCTCGGGTTACGGCGCGCCCCTACTTTACCGGGGTTCCTAGGTAGATCTCGGCCGCTGCACAGCTGCGTACCCGTCTCAGGTATATTGCCGCGCGTGTTTCTCCGCCGCCCCGGGTAGGGCCCTTTGCCGGTTGCGGCAAGGTCGCGTAGAACAGAACCAGCCGGCTGGGTCGCTCGTTCCGTGGATCATGGCTGCAGCGTGGCGGGACAGAGAGAAGGTCTACGGTTAGCCATTGAGTAGATACCTATACAGGGAGGTAGGAAGTTAGGGTAGGCTGGCCTCCCACCCCCCCCCCCCCCCCCCCAACTCTGTTCCGCGTGAAATGGGGAAGGGCTTGCGACGTAGGTATTGGTTCCTATCTACGTCGACTGGCGGCCCCTACGCGCCCAACGTACTGACGGTCCGACATCACGAGTATAAAGCGTTGCCTCCTCCCCCGACACTTTGCCCCCTCGTCTCCAGCAAGCCAGCCATCCATCCTCTCCTCCTCCTTCTTGCCTGTTTCCACGCCATAGCCATTGCGAAGATGATGGCTTGAATCCCTTCACTGTATACCTACAAACAAACCCATCCGTCCGAGACCCACCACCTAGTACCGATCCAGCGAGCTCTCTCCTCCCTCCCTCTCTTTTCCCTTCTCTCTTCTCCCCCATCACTGGGATAGCCGGGGCAGCGTCGCCCTCCCAGCCGACCGACTGACCGACCGGCCGGCCGGCTTCCCATCGCGCCACAGGGATACATACGGCGCGGAACAGACGAAGGCGGCCCCGCGAAGGAGCACCTGGCGAGCCGAGCCCGCAAAGCATGCCGGGCACGACTCATCCGCCGTCGCAGCGCCAGCGTGCGGCCGGCGGCACGCCCGCCGCGCACCACCACCACCACCACCAACCACCGCCGCCGCCGAACTACGCGGCCCCCCCAGCTAGGAGCGGCAGCGGCAGCTGGACAGCAGCCGACGCGGCCAAGGCGTCGCGGGACGGCGCGTTCCTGGCGGCGTGGCCGCGCGACGAGAGCTACCAGGTGGCGGCGGAGGGAGAGGCAGCTGGGCGCGGGCCGGGGTAGGGGTAGGGGTAGGGGTTGCCGCGGCGGCGAGGCGGCTTACACTGCGAGGGGAAGGGGACGTCCTGGCTGCGGGCGGGTTACTCTGTGCGGAAAGAGCTGCGCGCCCGGCACCAGGTGGGCGGTGGTGGCTTGCGGGCGGACGGGGGGGGCCCCGCGAGGCTTGCAGGCCGGGGTCCCGTGGACAATCCGGCCGCCACCCGCCCTAGCGGTCGCACACTCCGTTTCACACACAAAAGTGGCGGCGTCTCGCCGTGCTCTGCGGTGCTTCGCGGCGCAGCCGGGCGCCCGGGATGCTCGCGAGACGTCGCCGCCTGCGCTATGGGCGCCGACACGGTCTGGCCCTGAGATACAGCGCCGCCGGCAGGGTGCCGGTAGACACGGTCAGGCACCCCGCCGCCTACCTCATCTCCCCTCCCGCGCCCGCTTCTGGCGCGCTGCCTTCTTCCCAGACCGCCCTGCGGCCGCCGCGATAGGCATACGTACTTACCTACCCTACCACCTACCTCTCGTCGCCTCTTCCCGTCGAACTGAGCAACGCGTATCGCGGCTCTCGGGCAGAGACGGAGGCCTCGGCCGCGGGAAAGGGGTATGCGTGCGCGCGCCTCCCGGGGCCGAGTTACGCGGCAAGCGGCCCGACTCCGTTGCCCACGGGAGACGGGAGGAATCGTGTCGCGGGGCGCGACAGAGACTCGTCCGAGCCTGCCCACGATTCGGCCGTTCGCAGCCTAGCGCGGGAGGCAACCCCCCCCCCACCCCACCAGCGGCGCAAGGAAGGGTTGTTGGTTAGTTGGTTAGGGGGGTTGAATATCCATCTTCGCTTACACCTACGCCAGCGTCCACGTGACGCGAGCGGGATCCGCAGCGAGAAGCAAGCTAGCCCTAGCCGCCTCGCAGATCAGATCAGATCAGATAACAATGTTGGGGCGTGGGGTCATGTGGGAGGGGAGGGGAGGGGAAGGGAAGGCGCGCTCGTCGCGAGCGAGGGCCGCGGAAAAAGAGACGGCGAGGGAGGCTATGCTGTCTTGGTCCTGGCTCCCTGGGGGCCGGCGTCGTGATAGGCCGTGCGCCCTTTGAGCTGGTCAGCCCGTCACGCCCGCCGAGGAGGGACCCATCGAACGATCTATCGTCATTGTCACAAACCCCTCCCCCTCGCTGGCGGTTATTTCGGACTGGAGAGAGAGAGAGTGAGAGAGAGCTAGGGGAAGCGGGGCGGCCACCGAAAGGGTTGGGCAGCAACCTAGGACGCGTGCGGCTTGGTCGGTCTCACCTGGCACCGCCGCGGTGATCGATTAATTGCGTTCATGCCTTCGCCCGCCGATCTATCACAAAATAGTCGCCCCCCAGGGCTCTATCGGGGGGGGGGGTGGGCAGGCGGAGGACGGGGAGCAGAACGACGAGGAGGAGGGTAATTTGCTATGGTGGATATGTATGTCTAAATCCAGCATCCCGCGCTGAGACTACTATCCACCCCCTACGTCCCAGGTACTTCGGTCCCAGGCCGGCCGGCACTGCGGCTAAGCGGGATCGCGCATGACATCGAAACCCCGTGACGGGCTTCGCCTGGAGCGCTCGTCACGATTCCCTCGCCGCGGCAGATAGGCCCGGCCGGGGGCGCGCCCTCCTGCTCGCCCAGAGACGGGCTAGCAACTCTCTCTCTCTCTCTCTCAGCAACTCGGTGTGCGCGCATAACACGCTATATAAGGCTGAGAGGGAAAACCAGGCTTTCGAGCCCGTCGCGTTGCAGGGAGGAACGCGCCAAAAATTTTTTCGAGACCGCGCAGTGTCGGTGAATGGGCGCGTAGCGTTCCCTGGCCCTTCATTCGCCCGCCGCCACATCCAATATCAAGATTGGACAGCCTTGGCAATGCTTGACCTCACCGCGGACCAATGCCTAGCGAGAGGTAGCGAGGGCTCTATATAAGCTGGTGATATAGCGACCCTCGAGAGAGAAGCGAGAAGGGAGGGGGGGGAGAACTACTAACTATTGCCTATATACGGCAAGTGGTTTGCGTCTCGAAGTGGGTCAGACCCGTGAAGTCCATCAGACAGCTCTTTGCGGCTCAGCGTTCCGTCAGGGGGGGGTGCGAGGAGGGATGATCATGTGCCGGGCCAGAGCGAGAGAGACCTGGCTCTCGTCACATCCTATCACACCCCCCCCGATGTTAGAACAGTCTCTGGCTCGAACCTGGCTGGGGGGAGGTCGGTATTCGGCCACTCGCACCTCCTCCCCAGCAGCCGCGGGGGAGCACAGCATTCGACGGCCGACGCATCAGAGGAGAGATGGAGAGAGAAGACGCGCGTGCTTACTGGAGCGATTGCCCCCTCCCCCTCTCTCCTATCTATAGTATGAACGTGATAGTGGTGCTATGTGCTGCCATGATCTGGTCGCACCCGACCAATCTATGCGTATTGAGATATCTATCCCCTCGACATGGCAAAGGGAGGGGGCAGATACGCATTTCGAATCGCGTTTATGGTAAAGCCGATCTAGGCGGTCGAGGAGGGTATCTTCGGTCGATGGAGGCCTGGGCGCTCTCTACCACGGTAGATAAGTGTGCCTGACTACGGGCACGACCCTCATGCCTACCCAACTTCACCTCCCGACCTAATCAACCTAAGCGGCCTACCTCTTTGCCTTCGAGGCACTCGCGAGACGAGGGAAGCGTGATTCGCGGCATGTCGGTAGGTAGGGAAATGTTTGGTACCGGCTGGTGATGCTTGTTCTGCCGGCCGGTGCTGGCGCAGCCGCTGGGTGATGGGTGCGGCTAGTGCTGCTAACTGCGACGGGGAAACGGGTTGCTTGCGCTGGGCGTGCATATGCCGCCCGCGCGCGAATCAGCTCGGGACTAGGAAGCCATCACGGTGCGGGAGGGGTCCGCGATGCCTGCTCGGACTTGCAGCGGCTGGCGCTGGTAAAACACCACGCAGGCCGTTTTGAAAGAAAAAAATTCTTGGCTGTCCCGCTGCACGCTCTCTCGTTCCTCCGCTCAATCCCGTCCGCCCATCCGCGGAATCAAACCAAGTTGACCCGCTCGTGAAGACGCCCGCTTCTAGCGCGTGGGTCCTGCTGCAGGTATGCCTACTATCTGAATCTGCGGTGAATACCCTCCCCTAACCTCCCCCGGGCTTATAATGCCCGCCGTGGCGGAGGCGAGAGAGAGGGAAGAGGGGGGGGGCAGGGAGAGGAGGCTTGTCTAAAAGCAAAGCCCGCTAGCACTCCCCGTCTAGTCACGGTCCATTCAAACACGACGGCTCGACATCGTCGGACGGCAGCAGCAGTAGCAGTGACTGCGGGGGGAGGGGAACGTTGTGATCGACA